TCAGCCAGACAGCCAGCCAGAGAGAGGAGCTCTCTACCGGCCACCAACTTGTCTCCCACACTCTGGAATGCCTGCATATGAGAAGCATCTGCTAGTACACGTTAATTTGTAGCGAAAACCTTTGAGTGGGAAAACACATGCAATGTTTGACAAGTTTCTGCTATGTCCTGGGGACAGGGTCGGCGTATCCACAGCACAGCTAACAGACAGACAGACTCGTGTGGCATCGGTAGCTATTCAGACTAATTAATGTTGATCTATAATTGTGGGGCTTGGACCTTTTAGCTATCTATTCATCTCCAGACTATTACTGTTGTGGAATGGATACGGTGGTGCTAAACGGTGTATCCCTGCAGATGCAGGTCTGTGGATGTTTGACTGCGGGGAGGGAACCCAGACACAGCTAATGAAGAGCAGTCTTCGACCCGGTCGCCTCACCAAGATCTTCATCACTCACCTCCACGGAGATCACGTGGGGCATACCCTCGAGCGTTCTCCTCCTTTCTTGACCTCCTTGTAGCTAGAGCTGCAAGTGCAACTGGGTTTTCACCGTTGCCAGAGCTCCTGCTTTCTCATTCACTGTCAGGTATTTGGTCTGCCGGGACTGCTGTGTACCGTAAGCCAGAACAGCTCTGAAGACAGATCTCCAGTAGAGATCTACGGTCCACTGGGTCTCAGGAAGTTCCTCCGGACAGCTCTCCACCTCTCTCGCTCTGTTCTCGGGTTCCAGATAGCCGTTCACGAACTGTGGCACGACAGAAAACCTGAAGATATCGATGGAATTGTGAGTGAGCCCATAGGTGTCACACAAGATTTTTTAGGAGAGTTGTTCATCTGGTCATCACAGAAATATTCTGGAGCATAGAGTAATTGTATCTCTATAGCTACCCCGATAAGAATTTGTGACTGGAACTGACAGGGAAAGGAGTGAGTTTCCTGCCCCTCTCTCTCCCTCTCCTCTCTCCCTCCAGGTGGGGTGGAGTCCCAGCTACGTGGCAGAGGATGAGCCACACCCACAGGAAGTGGGTGGCAGAAACATCCACTCCAATGAACAAGGATACTGGGAACTGTATGTTATCGTTTGTGGAAAATTCACTCTCATTTCTCAAACAACTTCCAACATAGTAGTCCTCTTGGCTCTGATAAAAATATGTAGTGGTTTGTCTTCGAGAACAAAGAGTATATATACCCAACTACCTATAAAATATACCCCATACAAATACTCAGGAAAGCAATGTGACAGGCTTTCCTGTTCTCTCCAGTTGCCGTGAAGGTGGTCTATCAGTGTGTGCAGCTCCTCTGAGACACAGGGTCATGTGTTTTGGTTACGTCATTACTGAGGATCCCCTGCCTGGCAAGTGAGCCACTAGCCATTGGCACAGTAGAACTAAATAGCTGCGTAGCTACATATACTATTTCAACAGCTGCGTAGCTACATAATCACCCAATGAGGAAAGCTGTCCGTGCCAGCACTTACGCGCTTACATTACTCATGTAATATTCATCAACAAATATGGATCATTTTTACCCTGTATATTATGCTTCGAAATTCCATTTCATCAGAATCCATATCCTCAACTCATGTCTGTAAAGACGTGTCATTTACACTACCGTACAGTGGAACCTCTGCCTTATAATGGTTGTACTATTATGCCCCAGACTGTTGGTGGAGAAGGCTAAGTCACTGGGAGTGCCCCCAGGGCCTTTGTATGCCAGACTGAAGCAGGGACACACTGTCACCACTCCCGACGGCAGAGAGGTGTCCTCTGCAGAGGTGGTCGGTCCCTCTCGCCCCGGACGGAAGCTGGTTGTCCTGGGAGACACTGCAGACAGTTCACTGGTTGCCCCGCTCGCCCGCGACGCTGATGTCATCGTTCACGAGGCCACCAATGAGGCAGCTCACCAGGAGAAGGCTAGGGCCAATGGCCACTCCACACCTGGTGAGGTGGACCCTCCAATTATAGAGGGTCTATTGCAGCAGTCCACAACAAACATGACCAGCCTGTAGCTACACAGTTTAGTACTTTTATGTCCCTATTTTGTTATCCACTAATGTCTGAGTTCCCAAATCATACAAAGACTCTAAACTGCTTATGTATTCCGTATGTAGCTTTGCTGTATAAACTGCTGTCACATTTAACCACCTGACTGGGGTTGATTAAAGGTGACAGCAGTTTAGCAATGGGAATGCATAGGGTCTTTGTATGATAATGGGAACTGAGACATCATGATCCTTTTTAACTCTCAAAGATGCTACTGTTTATATCCGCAGGAATGGCAGCAGAGTTCTGCCAGGAGGTGGGAGGGAGGAGACTGATACTGACCCACTTCAGTCAGCGGTACCGTGGGGAGGGGGAGGAGGTGGGGGAGGGGGAGGAGGGGGTGGGGAAATTGCTGGGGGAGGCACAGGAGGCACTAAATGGAACTGGAATCAGTGTGGAGACTGCAGACGATTTCAAGACATTCGTAATCCCAGCCAAAAAGACTTAAAAATCATGACTCTACTACAGCATGGTTTCAGTACAATGTATTAGTATTCTGTGTACATTTGTGTTTCAGAAGATCAGGCTGTCAAATGAAATTCCAAATAACTCTCTGCCCAACGTCTTCATTAAACTCAAATATGTCTTCCTGATCGTTGCCACATACTGATGGAGATGAGATATCTCCAGACATTCCTTGAGACGAGGGTCTAGACCAGAGAATGACTGTAGAACTGCAGTGTCTGGAGCAGTGAATGAGGGAAGAGAGCATAACTTCTGTCCCTCCTCCTTCCTCTTGGAAAATAGCTTCTTGAAATCACCTTTCCTTGATTCCCTTTATCAAAACTGGGGAAAATGTTTCTCTCCAGAAGAGTTGGGTCTGTGGCTGAGTCAGGTCTGAAGATGAGAATGATCTCCTGAGATTAGGAGACATGCCACTACGGACAGCTCCCACATTGAACTGTTGAAGAGGTCCAAGTCCTGTCCACTCAACATAACCACTAGGATATTCCCTGTCTTCACCAACAGAGAGAGGGAGGAATAATCCAGACTTGATCTTCATCTCTTCCAGAGTAGTGTTTTCCCTGAGAATGTCGTTTAGTTCCAGAAGGAAATCAGTGCAGGTAGTCTTAGTTGGTAAATGAAAACTTTCCATAGACGAGAACATTCTAAAAGATTTTGTTTCAAGCTCACCAAAGTCATGAATTACAAGGGATTTTAATGCTGTGTTATTTCTCAGTGGACTACATATGTGGAGGATTCCATCATAGCCCAGTCTGGTTCTCTTCAGCTCCAATGTGGTAAGACTGGGACAGTGTAGTAAGATGCTATGGACACCGGCCATGGTCTCACGAGATACGTCAGGCAACACTAGTTTAGTGATCTGATCTGATCTCAGAACTGATTTCAGTACAGAGCCACACATCACATCCACTGCAGTCCTTAAGTCATACGCTGTGTTGTAGGGTAAGAAGATATCAAGTACCAGCTCTGTCAGTCTATGTTCCACTAGCCAACAAAGATATCAGTTGGTGGAATGCCGCATTCTATGTTCCGAATGTGCAGTGATTTCAGTTCATTGAGGGACTTTAGTGCAGTAAGCCAGTCCCAAGATAGAGAAAATAAGAATCAACGTGTATTGATTGAAGTTTATTAAATGAATGTAGAAAATCAATGGGAAAGTGGATTTCCAGACTGCTAATTTCTAGCTCCTTTAACTTCAGACAAAAATGGAGCTTTCATAATCCAAAACATATCCTTATCAAAGTTTTCTTTGAGCATTTATTGTAAGATGCTGTACTCTGGGAATTTTATAATTGCAGTGGTCAATAAGACCTCTGACAAACGTTTCCAAAAATGAAGTATAGCATCACTTTTCAATAACGGACAAACCCAAAGTACCAACGACAAATTCAAAGGGACTGAAGAATGTGCTACACAGTAGGATAATGCATAGCAACTGTATGGTGTTAAATATTCTGCAACTGAAAGATTTCTTCTGCTGCTACCAGCTTCCTCAGCAGCAAAGTAGTGGGATACCATGGTTGGATTTTGAGCCTCATACAGAGATTGTACCAACAAATAAGATTTAACACCTATAGTGTAATGACTGAGATACGTTTCCCAGTGGTTCCCGTCATCCTCTGACTGGCATCTCCAGCCAGTGATACCAGCCAGGAATATGGCTGGCTCAACCAGTGACTTCACGATTGGGACCAATGATAAAATAAGAGCTCTTTCGTCTTTAATATCACCTTTATACCTGGATTCTACATCAGTTGGACTGCTATGAACCATGATGCGTCTATGATACCTGGATACTACATTAGTTGGTGCAGAAATTCTATCAAAAGTGAGATTATGATAAGCCACCTGAAACTCAATGCTGAAGCTAGTAGCAAGGTGCCAAGCTGCCAGGTATTCCTGTAGGCTGAGGTGGAGAAATGACAAGGTTCGCTCCACTCCTTTGCCAGCATACATTTCAGTGGATTCATTCATGAACCCAAAATGAACTAATCCCTCAGGGATATCCTCTCTGAAGAATGTTACCTTCCTTGACTCTCCTTTGTGATAGCTATCAAAAGCAAACTTCGTCAAAGCCATAAACATTCTATAATCCTCTTTTTTTAGCCCCTCTGGAAGCATGGAACTACATTCAAAATTGCTTTCCTTCATCTTCATGTGTCTAACAAGAAGAGAATGAGTGAGTGCCTTGTACAGCTGTGTTCTCGTTCTTGGTATAGCGAGGTGGCGGCTACTCTGAGACTCGTAATAGACTTGTGCTATAATGGCACAGTTGAGTGGAATGTACATCATTGACTTTATGTGAGGGACAAGAAACATGTACTTCAAGAAATTCACCTGAAGCTCTGGCTCCTTGCTAAAGACCTCAGTGATATACCTCACTCTCTCTTCCTCTGTGAACCCAATAATTTCTACGTGTTTATCAACTCGAGGCTGGCAGATACTTTCTAGTGTGGACTTGGCCACTGGTCTAGTAGTGAGAATGATGGTACATTCTGGCAATAGCTGCCTGCATAGAATGCTTTTTATGACAGAGTCCTCATGGAAACTGTGAGAGACTTCGTCAAAACCATCTAAAACCAGTAAAAGGTTTCTCCCTTGCGATTGTACCAGTTCACTAGCAATGCTTTCACTGAAGTCAGGGTGGGATGGATATCTTAGGAGATCTGAAAGTGAAGTGGCATTTAAGACCCACTTTTCCCTCAACCTGAGCAGCACGACAGTGTGGTAGCCTCTGAGGCTTTGTATCTCGTCCCATCTCCTACACGCCTCCCAGGCAAAGGTACTCTTGCCAATTCCTGGAGGACCTTCTACCAGAACGAACCTGCCGAGTTGCTTTTTATCTTCTGAGGCGCCTCGGCTACTACTTTGAATCCCTAAGATCTTACTATATTCAGAGGGCAGCAAGTATTCACTATCTTCCAAAGCCATGAAAGGCATCATGCCTTCTTCTGCTCTACCCTGGTAAGGTTCTTCCGTACTTTTAAAGGCCAACAAATCTTCAATTTTAATGGGTGTCTTGCTTTCAAGGATCTGATCTACTCCTCCATGCAGTGTTCTCCTGGTAAACTCATCTCTCTCCCCAGGATCATAGCGCCTTTTCTAATCATGGCAAGATTAATGTAGGGAGCATCTAGGGTGGGAAGGTACTTGTCTGCTGGAGCTAGGGTTCTAGCATTGTAGCAAGCCTGCAAGTACTGCTTGTACTTTGCCAACACTGGACTTAAACCTGCTGGCTGTGGTACAGACTGACTTACTTCCAAAGGTAGTGACATGCCACCACTAACTCCACTTACAGGAGTAGCCGCAGGTTGTGAAATATTCTCAGCTGTCGTTTCTTTTACGTCGCCTCCATTTCCTGTAGTATAGAGTGAGAACACAGCAATAAAACTGTCCCTTGTATAATTTATAATGTGCATTACCTTTGAGTGAGAAAACTGAGCTCTCTGTAGAAGGCAGTTGACTGGGAAATCTTGCAGCTGTTCTCTCGGGACATACTTTTCCTGAAACCAAGTTTTAACCCCTCAAAATCAGTAAGATACACACGTTATGTACAAACCTGTTTCTATCAGTATTTCTCTGCCTGCTCCCTTTAGAGCGTCATTTCCCAGCAGTACCTCAAGAAATCTATACAGTCGATACGGACGTGCATCGATTCGCTTGCTTAGCTTAGAGACCAAGCTTATGGTCTTGGTTTGTTGAGATTCTGATGACCCTCAGCATATCAATCATCGTATCTTGGGAAATCAGATGTTTCCGTTGAAGCTGTGCAGCGACTTCAGCTGGGTTGACTATTGCACAGCAGAGTTGGCCAAAAAACTGTTTGAAAACCTTTAAGAGTTTCTTCGCTTCAGCCTCGGTCAATTTCCTTGACATATTATCGCACTCTGGTGACGAAGAATCGTCAGTTTCAGAGAAACTTATTAAGCCCTCTCCTCTTCTTTTCCTCTTCTCCTTTCTCTCGTCGCGACTACCGCGGCTTGTTTTCTTCCTTTGTCTCCTGGAGCCAGGGGTCTTTGGTGTCTCCTCTGGGGAAGCAGAAAGCGAGGCGCTGCCCCTGGCTAATTGGCTCATACTGCTCTCTTTGTGCTTTCTTTTCCTCTTTTTAACCCCTTGGCTTCCACCTCTAGGATCAGGGTTTGATTCTCACGTATATCATATCTTGAAGGTGCAGCTGAAGCTTTTTTCATCATTTTTCTTTTTGTCGTAGATAGTTCTTCTTTTCTCTCTTCTTCCTTTCTCTCGGATCGCACAGCTATTTTCTTTCCTTCCTCTTCACTAGCGGCTGCAGAAGACTCATCATCATGTTCCATTTCCTCATTTCCTTCATTTGATGACTTTTGTTCTGAGTCTCTGTCTTCTTCATCCTCACTGCTACCGTCTAAATCCCATTCTTCATCTTCAGAGTCTTCATGAATGCTGTTGCCTGATGCAGTATCTAATGGTATGGCTACAGCTTTCTTTTCTGAGTGAATTTCTCTTTCTCTCTTCTTTTCTATTGGTTTTGAACCCTTCTTTGGGTATTTTTCTTTGCCGGAATAAGCCAATTGCTTGGCCTTTTGGTTGGCTCTCTCACCTACTTCTCTTTTCTTAATCCTAACGTCTAATTCCTCCGCATTTAGGCCAGATTTTGGTGTTCTTGCTTTCGGCATTGTCTTTCTCGTAGGTTCAGGACTTGGGGGGACTTCACTTATCTCTTCTTCACGATTACTTGTAGAAGACGGTTCGGGGTCTTCTGATTCTGCTGCAGCAGCAGCTGAATATTTCTCTTTCTTTCTTCCTTTTGTCGTTGCTCCTTTGCATGAAAATGATGCTGGCTTCTCTTCGACGTATCCAGCAGATGATTCCCTTTGTCCTTGTTTCTCTGTGAAACTCTGCAGGATCAGGGTTTGATTTCTCACGTATATCATATCTTGAAGGTGCATCTGAAGCTTTTTTCATCATTTTTCTTTTTGTCGTAGATAGTTCTTCTTTTCTCTCTTCTTCCTTTCTCTCGGATCGTACAGCTATTTTCTTTCCTTGCTCTTCACTAGCGGCTGCAGAAGACTCATCATCATGTTCCATTTCCTCATTTCCTTCATTTGATGACTTCTGTTCTGAGTCTCTGTGTTCTTCATCCTCACTGCTACCGTCTAAATCCCATTCTTCTTCTTCAGAGTCTTCATGAATGCTGTTGCCTGATGCAGTATCTAACGGTGTGGCTACAGCTTTCTTTTCTGAGTGAATTTCTCTTTCTCTCTTCTTTTCTATTGGTTTTGAACCCTTCTTTGGGTATTTTTCTTTGCCGGAATAAGTCAATTGTTTGGCCTTTTGGTTGGCTCTCTCACCTACTTCTCTTTTCTTAATCCTAACGTCTAATTCCTCCGCATTTAGGCCAGATTTGGGTGTTCTTGCTTTCGGCATTGTCTTTCTCGTAGGTTCAGAACTTGGGGGGACTTCACTTATCTCTTCTTCACTATTACTTGTAGAAGACGGTTCGGGGTCTTCTGATTCTGCTGCAGTTTTCTTTCCTTTTGTCATTGCTTCTTTGCAAGAAAATGACGCTGGCTTCTCTTCAACGTATCCAGCAGATGCTTCCTTTTTCCTTGTTTCTCTGTGAAAACTCTGTACCTCTGATTCTGCTTCACTACTTGCAGTGAAATATTCATCGTCAGATTCAATTTTTAACTCCTTTTTGGGTTTTCGCTTATACCTCTGATTAGGATTGTGTTGATTATCTTGGTCGTCACTTTCTGTTACTCTTATTGATTTCTCTTTCTCATGAGCTGGCTTCTTTTTCCTTCTTAATTTCCTTTCCATTTTCCTTTCGCTTTCAAATACGTGTGTAGCTTTCATCCCTTTGTACATTTCCTTTCTCCTCCTTCACCAGTTCTACTTGTTGATCTGCACCGCGAGCGGAATATCTCCCTGGTTTTTCGCTCACCTTTTCCCGCTTTTCCGAGTGCATCTTTCTTTTCACTCTCCCGCTACCCTCCCCGTGATTATCACTTACTTTGTCCTGATGCAAGGGAGGACCACCTTCGATACATATTGCTTTCTGTTTTCTTTTCTTTGTTTGATCGGATTGAGCCTGCTTTTCATGTTGTTTGACTGGGGGATTAACATACTTTTTCTGTATTTCATCCGCTACCTTACCTTCACCCACACAATCTGACCTTAGTGCCTTTACTATATCTTCCCACGTAAATATCTCTTCTTTCTTTATTCGAATGGACAAGATTCAAGCAGCCGCTCGCCTTGATCAATTTGTTGCCTTTCCACACTTTCAATTTCACTTTTCTTCACCCCAATTTGCAAACCGATGGGTTTGTAACTCGTTCGTACGCGATAGAGGGCATTATATATTTTCCCGAGATCGTCCTCGCCCAAACCGCTGCTGGGGGACGCTTCTCGGCTCGATCCAGTAGCCATCGACTAGGCCGCGCCACGCCCAACGAAACGATAACCCGCGACGCTAGCGCGAAAACCGTCAAACTTCCAGGTAATGCGATTATATAAAACGGATCCACTGACACATAAGACCTACAGTAGATCTACCTTTTCGTCGGGAAAAGGGCTGGAGGAAGACTGGTGGATCTCTGCAGTCGCTCTCATCTTCAGTGGGTGGGCGAGGCACCGAGAATTGGGTATACCGACAATTGGTATTCCTCCGTATTCTCCGATATTGCGCATGCGCGCCACTTGTCCATAATTATTAAGTTGAGCGCAGGGGGTTTACAATTTACACATTGCCCTAACACTATCAAGCATGAATGAAAAAAGGTTGTGAGGTTCATGAAGTTTGTTGCTGAGCTGCAATCTTTGCCAGAGTCTGTGCAATGGCAGCACTAGCGTACTACTGGCAGATGACACCACTGAGGACGAGAGGAGGAGGAGGGAGGGGGGAGGTGGGGCTGGATGAGAGACAGGAGTTGGGAGAGAGAAGACCAGGTGGGGGACACCCTCGGACATCCAGCCATCACCCCTGATGAGCTCTGAGTTTGAAAAAATAAGACAGTTACAGGCCAATATTTGATGCAATAAGTAGATAACACTTTTCCCTTGGTTTGCAAGCCTAACCTTCACAATTCTCCACTGCTTTACACAGTGCACACACGTACATTGCCCCAAAATCTGTTTCATGATCAGGTTATTCCCAACCAAAAGGTTATGCCTAACCTGTTTTGCAATCAGGTTACATATTTCTGCTAAGTTTGTCCAGAATGTTATTATTGACCTGTTTTCTGATCCACTCCAGTTGAGAGGGAGGTAGCTGAGCAGTGAGTGCCAGTCTCTGGGGTTTGCTGGCCACCTGCTGGAGGAGGTGGTCAGCCAGACAGCCAGCCAGAGAGAGGAGCTCTCTACCGGCCACCAACTTGTCTCCCACACTCTGGAATGCCTGCATATGAGAAGCATCTGCTAGTACACGTTAATTTGTAGCGAAAACCTTTGAGTGGGAAAACACATGATTCGGTAATTTGGCGGTTTGACAGTAATGCTCGAATTTACAAATGCACGACGCACTAATACATCCAATGCACAGGTTCACTATCTAATCCTAATACACGTCAATTTGTTGCAAAAACTTTCGAGTAGGAAAATGCATAATTATGATGCATCAATGAAACCAATCCACCATGGCTCAGGTTCACCAATTTCCCATGTCATCCGATGCACTAATGTACGATCCACCATTAATACACTGTCGCACATCACTATGTGCACAATATTCTGTTAGCAGCTACGTCATAATGTGCTATCGAATAGTGCATGAGGCACAAAATAGTCAACTTGTACATGGTGATAAAGTGGCAAACCTCAGTTCCGCGGTCTCCCAGACCAGCTGCAAAGAGACTTGAGACAAAGTGTCTCCTAACGACCTCAGTCTCCACCCCCCACAGCTCTCCGAGGAGAAAGAGAGCACTCGTGACCTCCGCGACCTCTAGCCTCGGACCAGGGGGTGTCGGTCTGGGTCGACGACGACGGGAGGGAGTGAACGGCAAGACTGGGGATTGAGGGGCGGAGTTTCGGAGAGGGCGAGTCGAGATTATGAGTGACTGCCTCACAGAGAAACTGTGAGATGAGAATATTATCAAATAGGTGCAGTATTCACACTAGATGGCGAGCAGATGTTCAGTTTGTAAAACATTGTTTTTTAGCCATGTTCCCAGGCCCATTATTGTTTGAATGTGTGCAGTATATATAGCAAACAAAATTTGTCAAATACATGAAATTTTCCCACCTAAAAACTTCACCAAAAGTTTAAAATCCACACACAAGCTTACTCTCTTGAAGCCTTTGTGCTAACTGTAGTCACATCATTATCATAAACCTTTGTCCTCTTGTGCTGGAGTTGAGGAGGAGTGGGAGGGAACTGGTGGGTCCTTCCTCCATCGCCGCTCCAGCTCAGGAGCCCTTTCTTGGCCACCGTCCTCACCCAGGAGGGGTAGAACGAGGTAACGTTGATGGCGGGGCCGAGGATGAGAGCGAGCTCGGTGTGCAGGAGAAGAGAGAGGTAGGCCCGGAGGAGAGGGTGTGGAGGGAGAGGCAGGACTCGAGCCACGTCCATTAGGAGTCTCTTATTTCCAGCAGGCCTGCAGGGAGCATCAGGTACACTGAATAATAGCTTTGACACATTGAAACTTTCACAGACCAGTAATGTATACATGTTAGGAAGAAAAACCTTCAGCTGGTTTATGAACTAAAGTGTCTCAAAATCCACTACTCTTAACTCACACGGGGATCAAGATGGTATCTTGCTGAGCTGGATTTACTTCTTTCCCCTCCCTCTCCCTCCTCCTCCTCTCCTCCCCCCTCTCCCAGCTGGTAGAGATAGGTGAAGAGTCTTCTGGTGAGAGATGCCAGTTCCACTGCCCCACTTCTCTGCTGGGAACCCTGGCAGAACAGAGAGAGGCACAGGACGAGGAAAATGCCACACGGGGTAGTTGGTAAGGCACACAAGTTGAAAAATTGACCAAACTGCAAAGATTCGCTAGTGCATCTTCCGTCGGTCGCCATTTAATCGTTCATGTATGAGAAATGTGTCTCTCACTCTCTTTAGTCTATCGAGCAGTTCCATCACAGGTGGCTCGAAGACAGTCTGCCACAGAAACAGACAAGTACCTGCAGGGACACGAGAGTAGATATCATGACCTCACGATTGACTCGTGAGCTATTGCATGTACATGTATGTATGTATGTATGTATGTATGTGTGTTGCACCTGCTAGGATCCGGGGACCCGAAATGAGACTGAGACACTTCAGAACGTACTCGTGGAGCTCCAGGTACTGTTGGAAGTGAAAGAAGCAACATTAATGAATTTGTCATGGATTGTATAGTGGGAAAATTACATTGGTAGATCTTTATGATGCCAAAAGGCAAATGGCTTGCATGCATTGTGATACGTGTTCGAAATTCATAGCTGCAAACATGTTTTGAGGCTGCGTATACGTATAAGTTTGATATCTTCCCGCTATGCAGTACTATATAGTACAATTGATAAACTGGAGATCTGAAAACACTTCCTTCCTGCACCTTGGCAGGGTCGGTGGTCCAGAGACAAGAGGCCTGCCAGGCAGAGTGGACCAGTAGTGAGCAGCTAGAGAGGGAACGACTGAACATCTTCAGTAGCGGACTCAACTTCTCCACCACCTCCCCTTCACCTACACACATACACCAGATCTCACAGTACAATACTATAGCTCTCCCTATTCCTCACTCTTGGAAATAGAGCATGATTTAGCTACAGTTAGTGATTTTGCTAAGTACTTCACATGCTTAGCATTTTTATGTACAAAATTATGCTAGCTAGCCATTTACGTTTGCTGTATTTTCTGTGCAAGTATAATTATACTCCAGATGATGACGGGAAGCTTTATATTCACATGTGTTTTTGTTAATAGTCACTTGCAGTGCCAATTTTGCCAAAATCAGTTCATAACAACAAGTCTAAAAGAAATGCTATTAAAAGCTCTGTGGTGTGTGGATAACTCACCAGCAGCAGGGTGGAGGGTGTAGGAGGTGAGGGGAGACTGGCTATTGTATTGGGAGACATTCTCTGGCCCACCAACCAGTAGGCCACAGTGTTAGCTATCAGCCAGGGACCTACCGCCTCCAACATAGCCACTGATACACATCCTGTTGGGAAACAGAGAGGGGATAGAACAAAGATGTGCGTGCACAGTAAAACTAGAGATTTCAGTTAAATTGGTTCGGTTCATGGTTCCAAGACATACTCTAGAGAATGAAAGGATGTCAGGTAGGTAGATGGTTTTTTAGGCCCATGTGCCTATAACGTACCAGTATTGAAGGGTTCTGCCATAAGAAAAAGTGCATTATATACAGAGTATATATCACACACATGCTGTGTACTTGCGCAAACAACAGCAGGCATCTCTGTACTGATACTCACCCTCGCTCCCAGACTGTGTCTCCTCCTGTGTCTCCCCAGTGGTCTTCCTCAGTAGAGGGAGAGATGGAGCCCGGCTCACGACAGCCATCCCCACCACTCCACACAGACACGTGAGGACCTCCAGTCTCAGCTGGAGCCGCGCCCACTCCTCCCCTTCCTCCGTCACCGTTTCCCACCCCTCACCTCCTCCCTCCTCCCCTCTTCCCCAGTCTCCCTCCCCCCACCCCTCCCCCTCTACCTCCATTCCTTCCTCCTGTACCTCAGCCTGATGTGGATAATACATACATACATTACATACACAGTGCAACATTACAGTAGTTCTTACATCTCGGTTCCATTCCGACATGAGTCTCTGACAGAGAAGGATCAGAAGGAGGGCGTGGCCAGCATTGTGGGTGTGGCTGCATTGTCTCCTGACCTCCGTCATTGCTTCATTCATCCCCTCTCTCCTACCAGCTTCTGAAAAATACACAGAGGAGACAGGGAAGACATGGAAAGGGTAAAAACCAAGACTCATTAAGTGGGTGGGATTTGGGGACAAACGTTCTCCAATGCCTAAACAACTTCTGTTCCCAGACTCCCATTCCCAGTCTCCTGTTCCCATATTCCAATTCCCAGTCTCCTGCTCCCATACTCCGACTCCCTGTTCCCATACCCCAGTCCTCTGTTCCCAGACCCCCAATTTTCGGTCTCCTGCTCCCATACCCTAGTCCCCTGTTCCCAGACCCCCATTCCAGAGGGGTTACTGAGGTCACAAGACTCTCACCGAGAGAGGAGATGGTGGTGAGTATCTTGTGCAGTCTCAACAGTAGATAGCGAGGGTCTCCTCTGACTGGTAGCACTCGGCCACTCAGGAACACCCGCGTGAGCAACGTCTGGAGAACGGGACACACACTCATTGTGCATTCTTTATGGGTGGTTGAGGTGATGAGGGATAAAGACCCTCAGATCAATGCAGCACTTACAAGTACGTACATCAAAAGAGTATGACATTTAAGAGTTTGAAGCACGTGGAATGGCTCCATACTCTATGTGTCCACTAACCAGCAGTGTGGATGGCGGTACCCCACAGCCAGTCAGTAGACTCCGAACACTCTTCTCAGCAATCTCTTGTGTCAGCAAAACCTGAGATACATGTGTACATCTCTGCTAAATAACACACAGCGCCTTTTTATGCAGAAGCTTACGTGAAATAAGGCAAAACCTGCAAAAAAAGAAAGATTCAGTACAGAATTGCAGTACAATCAGTCAACTCACTAATGTCAGAAAGAGAAGATTCGCTGATGGATTTCTTGAGTGCTACTGTCACTGTTTCCATCTCCTCGCGTCGAGACTCGGCTGAGACCACACCCACTTCCCCACCCGAGACCACGCCCCCATTCTCCACTCGTACACAGCTCCACACTGCGACTCATCGTCTTCCCCGGGAGGTCGAAACAGCGGAGGAAGTCGCGGAGAGAAAGAGAGCGGACGATGTGGGTGCGGAGTTTGGCTGGTTTGCAGGCCGAGTAGCTCTGCAGGGAGCTTGCAACCTCTGCTGCAGCCTCTCCTGCCAGCCCACACAGATCACCCAGCATCTGATACGGACAAAGAGAAAGTGGGAAAGGAAAAAAAGAAGGCGTTAATCCAGATTAGCATGTGTGAAAATTTGGTTCAAAACCTGCCAATAGTAGCTGTCTTGGGACAAAATCAGGACATTTAGAGCCCACAATATTGCTATGGGAAGACTTAATCTTCTGGTAGATGGTGATTACAGAGCTTACATAACCCCGATATAAAACTTTATCTGAGCGAACTTTCACATGGTGTATTGTACATACATTGTACAGATGCTCTCAAACCTGAGGGAGGGAGGAGGAGGATGAGGGGAGGGGAGAAGGTTGTTTAGTGGCAGTGGCGGCCGTGAGCTGACTCAGACCAAGATGGAGACGAAACAGCTGCAGCACTCCAGTCAGGTACCCCCTCACTGCTCCATGGGCTGGGTCTACATAGATATCAATCACACTACTAAAAACTATATACCGGGTAAAACGATGAATCAGAGGTTTTTTGACAAACACGGAGTAAATAGCAACTTTGGGTAATCAGTGGTCATTGGATATCCGGTGACATTGCTGAAATCACCGGCAAAACCCACGGCATTAGAGAGTTAAGGCAAACGCAAACAGCTCCACCTACAACTCACAACTATCTGCTCTTTAGGCAGAGTGCTCTTTCTGCTGAGCTACCAGGGCAGCTCAGCACTTTCAACAATATCTCATCTAGTGAGCACATAGAGCTATGTAGTAATGTACATTACATGTAGTATGTACTAAGTAAAGCGTGAGCTATTATATTCTTCACCAGCTACACGTATCAACACTGTACATACTGGAGGGATTGGTGCGAGTGAGAGCAGTGTATATGACGGTGGCTGGATAGTGGGCAGGTAGTCCAGAGACTGGGTAGGAGTACACAACTCTCTCCACTGCCTGTAGAGGGTTAACAGCAGTGCAACTTCAAAGAACATCTTTGCTCTCTCTTAAAGGTAAAAAGCAGACTGCGCTTGAAAAATGGGTCCATGGAACAATGTATCATACCAACCAACACTACATGAATCTGATTGGTCGATCAAATAAGCTATGCACTTGCTACTTGCAACATAGTCAATAGTCGGTCTACTCTATGCACAGTGGACATACATCTTTGAGAGAGTGTGCCGTCTTGAGAGTTGTAATAATCTGGAGCAGCACCTCACCATCACCTGCACCAATATATGGGGACATTTACCTCTCATATATACTGAGCTCTAAATGAGTCTGTAGGAAACTCAGCATCCAGCTACATATAGAGTTGAGGTTGTCACAGCTGACCTGACTGAAGAGCAGGGGGCAACTTTTGGAGGAGGTGAGCATCGTGAGATGATGAATCGTTTAGTCTGCGGAGAGTGGAGAGAGGAGACAGGGGGAGGGGGAGAGGAGTGAGGGAGGGAAGAAAGGAACAGTGGAAAAGCCATCTTGCTTTCCCCATTCCCATAACTCGCCGCCTTGTCTCAAGTCCTATTTTGCAAGTCTAAGGGTTCAGCTACCTGACTAGAGTTGGGAATGGTACGAGGAAGGAGAGAAGGTGGCCATTTGGGCACAACAAGACAGCAGTGTCTCGCAGACCACACCCCTTGCTCCACCCCTCTCCATCGCCGCCCGAATCTTCATCTGATTTCGAAGCCGTGATCACACCGTGAGGAGCCATCAGCAACCTGCACATTACAAATGACGCCAACCACACATCAAACGTACATACATTGCTCTACAGCAGAGAGAATATGTACCTGCAACCTTTCCCTACTTGGAAGACAGCCACTCTGCTGCCATTCTGAACTGGCCAGAGCTGCAGTAAAGACACATTCCGATAAAAACCCTCGATTTGCCATTGTACTATTCTGGTGTGATCCATTTTTGAAGTGCTAAAAATTTCACAGCTCAGGAGTTTATAGATAAGTATTCTCTCTCCCTCCCTCTTGCCTCAAGAAGTCCTCTGCGAGGAAGATAGAGACACAGACACTGGGCCCTCTTCCCTGTCTCCCCCGGCAACGACCTCTCGCGACCTCCGCTGCTGCTGCTAGAGGAAGACCGTCCCTTCTTCCTCTTGTGTCGCCCGCCGGCAGACGGGGGGTCAGAAGTGGAGTCTTGAACCAGGAGCCAACCAGTCTGAGCATCTCGGTATCCTGTAGCAACCAGGGGACCACTGAACAGTGAGTGTCTGGTTCACTACAGGCAGAGTCTTGTCAACACATTTGCTCTAGAGATGGTCACTTCAAAACAGCACACAGTATTCGCCAAGAGAGAGAAAATGGTATGTGGAACTGGGTCTCAAGAGAGAGAAAATGGTATGTGGAACTGGGTCTCAAGAGAGAGAAAATGGTATGTGGAACTGGGTCTCAAGAGAGAGAAAATGGTATATGGAACTGGGTCTCAAGAGAGAGAAAATGGTATGTGGAACTGGGTCTCAAGAGAGAGAAAATGGTATGTGGAACTGGGTCTCAAGAGAGAGAAAATGGTATGTGTACACATTGTGGAACTGGGTGTCCAAAGCACTGAGCTACAATTTCGGAAAAGTATCTGCTGCTTTAGTCAAATAGCAAGACAAAACCTATACCGTGACTGGCTCAAGCACTGCAGCTCGGTTTTGTTAGAGACCTTTCTAGGTTGTTATTTCATCATATCTATAAACATGTATACCCTTCCAAACACTGAGCTACAAATCCCTTACAAACCTCACTATACCGGCCAGGTCAAATACATACATAGCTGGAAAAACCTGTCAACACCTCCAGCTCGCTTTTTGTGCGTATGTACCTTTCCACATTCTCCTGACGGTCATGGAGTGGTTCTCGAGGAGAAGGACTCGTCCAAATCCGTCCACACACACCGAGAGATCTCCGAGAGGAGACACACTGATGGAGCTCACTGCCCGCCTCTCATCTGGGACGTTGGTACTGTGTTGTGTACATAGTGAGTGAAGTGAGCGTACAACCTATATACACGTACGTACGTGTTGATTGCACAATTACTGTAACTGAGGAGAGTGTTGTAATAAATGTACGAAATCACAAAATAGAATGTGACAGTACACGAGGGCTAAATTCAACAATAGGGCGGCCCAGTGTAAGATGGAATGCAATAAAGTTTCCGTTTTTAGTAACATTTTCTATTAACGCCACATTCCCTTTAAGGCATTTTGCCAAGCAATAACTCTACGTGTAGATGTACACAGTATTATATTATAAGTAAAGGTTCTTCTGACCTCATTGGGAGGTTCAATATCAACTTCTTCTCTGGTGGCTTGGCCTTGGAAGGTGGTGTCCCTCCCCCTCCTCCCCATCCCAACCAACCCCTGTACACATTATAGCAAAGACATGCACGTAGCATTGACAAACTGTTGGTGAAATGATTTCTCACCCAGCCCGGGAGAGTTTCCCAAGTACAGATCTGGTCATCTTTGAGGCAACTGCCGACACTACTTCCGACACGTTCACAGTCCCCGAGTCCTATTACAGAGAGTGACAGAGTATGCAAAAAGAAAAAATGGAAGAGAGGGGTCAATGGGAGATGACCAACTACGTGAAATCTACATACACACAAACTGCATAAATGGCACCGAAGATTTACACTTCTCATAAATGATTTAGTAAAAACAAGTCCTGCATGAGGTACTGTAGATACAAGTGCAAACAGACCTTAGAGATTTTGTACAGGGATATCATTGGACTTTCTCCCACAACGATGAGCTGTGATTGGGGGGCGGGGCTTCCTCTGACGGTGGTATCATATCCTCCGACGTTCCCTGCTTCACAGAGATAGTCGTACAGACTGGGAATGGATGGAGCTGGGGGGGAGGGGAGACAGTTGGTAGAGATATAGGAAGCGAGAAAAGAGGGTGAGAACCGACGTAAATTTTGGAAATCTATGCACATATAATTATACAAGATGCAACCATGGTTAAAATTATGAAATTAAATGACTTGTTTTGCACATAATTTCTTTCAAAACATTCATATAGGGCCATGGCACTGTATGTATGTAGGCTTGTACGTACTATATACCAAGAAGTGCTGCATCAGCAGTTCTTCCCTGATCTCCGAGTCTCCACTTTCTGAAGCTGATTGTGGGGGCCTCCCCCTCGTCCTCCTCCTCCTCCTCGAGGGACGACTTGTCTCTAGTCTCCACGGCATGGTGGACGGCTTCGCACAGACTCCACCCCTCCACCACACACACCAGACTTGAGAACACCACCAACACCCCACCCACCTGAGGCGTCAGTGTTCAACAAACATTGAGTGTCAATACTTAGGGATTTACACATTTTACTGATTGAGATCTGCCTAAGTGTCATCCCTAAATTATTGATGACGAGGTAAATTTTAAAGCAATCTGCAAAAAATATTTGTTGCCTGATTAGAACCCTCAGAAGGCTCCTAGTACATGCGTATTGCCAAGGGAACTTGGATGATTTTTTGAGAACACAATCTTTTAGATAGAGGTGGAGTTGCGTACATTGGCTTTAGTGGGTGAGTTCTGCAGGTCCCCACTGGGGGCCATGCACCGAATTTTGACCACTGGTTCCCCGTGGAGAAACTGGGTGAACAAACTGACCCCCATCTACAGAGAAAAAAATGGTCTCTGTCACACACACAAACACTAGAGCCACATAAAGTATGGCAGATAGTTGGTTTATACCTTAGAATAAGCTCGGATACAGCCGTCTGAGAATCCTACTAGAACAACACTGGACGGCTCTTTCCTAGAGGGAGAACTGAAGAGGGAGGGGAGAGAAGGAGAGGGCGGGTAAGAGAAAAACAGCAGAGCCCGCACTGTCGGAGGATGACAGAGGGAGGGAGATGCAACAGTGTTTCTCCCAGCTCACCTGGACTCCAAGGCCACGGGAACTACGACGACGGCAGTAGCTATAGGTCTGAAAGAGAGGAGAGCTTCAAAATAGCACACCAGGACATTTCTCATTGTTGCCGTGTTACATCACCTTGGTGTGTTGGGATCGCGAACTACTTTCAACAGTCCTTCATAGCTGGTCTGATAGGCAGCAGAGGAGACACGGACGTCGCCTACTGCTACTCTTGGAGCATGCAGCGAGTCTGCGTGGAGCAGAAACAGCACATCTGGTGTATGTCTGTACATGTCTCCATGCAGTGAATGCTGAGTATATAGCTATATACTGACCCGTGGATGCTACAAACTGGGCCTTGAATGAGGCTATAAAGGCCAGCAGCCTCCCAGTGGGACACACGGCTATCTGCACCTCCCTCGCCTGCTCCGAGGGTCCCTATAATTATAGAGAGATCAGTACGCGCGAGAGTCCAGAGCACACGAACATGTGTACGACCTCATGCTCTTCCTGGCCAGCAGAGCCCGCACTGTCGGTCGAGTAGAAGAGCGCAGACGTCACCAAACCAATAGGCACGCCTGCCAGCCGCACCAACTCGCACTCCATTGCAGAATTCCTCTCTTCCTCTTCACTCTCTTACACCGCTCGCACACTCGCGAGTACCACGCGCGTTTTTCAATATTTCTCGGTGAAACTCAACAAAAATTCGTACAATTGGAAAAGCAATACGTATCGGACATAAAACTCGGTGTCAATATTTCTTTGATAGATACACTAAAATCTCCTCTGAGCACCAGCCTACGTCTCCTTTATCTCCTGATGCAAACAAACGAACAAAAGAAAAATGAACACAAAAAGTGAGGGTTGGCTTCTGCTAACCTCTTCCCAGCCTTCGCTGGCGCCGGCGAGATGGTAGTGGACCTTTCTGAGCTCAGCGAGCCTCGTCCGCTCCATCTCCAGCTCTTTCTCCAGTTCCAGAGCCTTCACCTGACTCTCCATCTCCAGCCTCTTGGCCTGAGTCAGAGACATGTTGGTGTAGTCCATCTTCTTACCTGGAGGGAAGATGAGAGGGAGGGAGGGAAGAGGGAGTGAGGAAAGGGGGGAAGAGAGGGAGGGAAGGAGTGGAGAAGGGAAAAGGAAGAAGGAAAGAGTAAACAAGGTGAGGGAAGAAAATGAGCAAAAAGACACAGAGGGTGAAAGAGTTATGTAGGTCGTACTGTTCTGTCTGGTGACTTTTGCTCCTGATTGGGTGGAGGCTACCACTTGACCTGTTGCCTCTGACACTGCGAAAAGGAACACCAAATGTGTAATCGGGAACTGCATAAGTAAACAGACGTCAAATGCTAGTATGGATAGCTAATGGAACCCTCAAAAGTATAGAGGTCACCCTCTCTTTTCCCAGAAAAAATAGTGGCTGCACTTAGTTATGTACCAAAACAGATTTTTTCGTGGTTTAATATTCGTGTCTCACATACACATGCACCTGTACGCACAGCATGTATAAGCTATACGGTATTACATCCTCCCCACTCTCTCTCCTCCCTCTCTCCCCCCACACACACCATCTCTGGAGGAGGATTTCAAGCTCTTGAGCTTCTCGCTCTTCGGTCGAGCCTTGACGCGCGAGGCGGCCACCAGTTGAGCTGTGCTGGCAGCAATGTCGTGAGACGCCACCATCAGCTCCTCAAACTTGCCGGTTCTCTGCACCACCTTGTCAGCCGCATCCCTGGAAGGACGGATACGGTACCGTAAAGACTTTTTAAAAAAACTTTCATGAATGGCGTAAAAGCTGTTTTCTGCAATGTGTGGTTGGGCAACATGTTTGGCACACTAAAACCAAAATTTGCGAAAATCTCCGAAATTTGGCAGTTTTTGTTACATTGCTTTATTGTTTCAAATTTCCACAGATCAGTAGTTTTGGTAAGTACATACACTAGTACTCAGTCTCACACAAGAACAGTGGCTCCCCAGCCGACTTGTTTGGCGGCAGAAATGAGACCTTCCGACCAGCGGGAGTTCTTCTTGTAGAAATCATAGGCCGTCGCATTGCTTCCCTGAGTGGTGCAAGTAGAGAGATCAGTCACCCGAGGAGCCTACTATAAGAGCCACAAATGGAGCAAGTTCTCTAAGTTTAGCATACTGTCCGGAACACATGGGAACTTTTCTGTCAAAAATGGAGTCCATGCTCACAAAATTTATCAGAAGACGCTAATTTCTCTCTCTAATATTTCACGGTGTAGCAGAAGAGGAAGAGAGAGATGTATGTAGGACAGCACCATTCCCTCGGCGATGATTTCTCCCTGTAGGTCTCTGGCTCTGATGATGAGGGTCTTGATGGTCTTCATGAGACCGGTGCAAGAGTCCAGGATCCTCTCGTTGACCTCCAGTTTGACCCCCGAGTCACCCTCCCTCGCCTTAGCCAACATCTCCTGCAGTCAGTGACAGACACCCGAGAGAGAGAGAGAGAGAGAGAGAGAGAGAGAGTGAGCTTGTACATTCTGACATGCAGTACATATATACATTTTTGCTTGAGGGTTCTAATGAATGCATGTGCCACAAACACAGATGGCGTATAAACACATCATGTGTTACGTTAATGATTTGCCACATAGAGTTAAAAGTCTCTGAATATACACACATTATGTGTGAGTGAATTATTTAAGAGAGAGAGAGAGAGAGAGAGACCTGAATCCTGCGAGCTGCCTCCTCCACGGCCTGCGAAGTGGCTGCCAGTTCCTCCTCCACCACGTCACCCAGTGCCTCCTCCTCCTTCCCCTCCCCCGCCTCACCCACCAGGTCCTGCAGTAAGAGGACATTGGCATTAAAAGTAGCGAGAATGCTTCTACATATGTAAATCATGACATCCAGTACATTACTGGGGGAACTATCAATTGGTATTTACCAGCCCTCAAAGTACATGTATTCTCAAAATTGCTCTAAAATAGACTGCACCACTCTATATATGGTAACAGACGGGACCAGAAGCTGTGCTACTATCATAATGTACATGTAGGTTGTGTTGACTCACGCCTGCCAGTCTCCCCAGACCCCTGATGGTCTTCTGGAGAGCGTTCCCGGCAGAGGCGATGGTTCCAGAGCCCGGTTTCTCTCTCTTCAGTACCGACAGGTACTCCAGACACTGCTCTCCTATGGTCTGCGTGCTCTCCTCCAGCTCTGTAGACAGTGTCAAATGGGGTTTTAGCTTTTTACTGATCATGAATGTATAATATATATACTATATTGGGAATGTGACGGTGTATTGCAATTATGGTTACATTAAGGGCCTTGTGTAAGTGTAATGCAAACAAGTTCTACATTTAGCCCCTATACACTGCCATGTTCCCTTTAATAGGATTCAGATTATGGTTATTGGCAATACTCTCGCACTTGAAGCATGAAAAACAAACACCACCTCACTTTTCCCCTCCTCAACGGGGGCGAGATGGGACGTGGCCACACCCAGTAAGACGACCTCGCACATGGAGTGGGTGTAAGTGGACAGAGACGAGAGGGCCTTCCCCATTGACGAGGGGTCGCTGTTGTACACGGAGAAACTCTCAGTGACAGAGTCAATGACGTCCAGACTGGTTTTGGTGTGGCCCAACAAGAAGGCGGGGCTACAAGTGGCCCCGCCCAGGTCAGGGTTCTTGAGCTCGTCCAGTACCTTGCGGATGACGCTCTCAGATTCTTCCACAGCTTGTACTGCAGAGAGTGCGGTCTGTTAACAGCTTAGTACATACCAAACCCACTATCAATGGAGCATATATGGAAGTGTAGTGCAGTGGAACTCTATATAAGGCACATACAAAGGTAACTTGCTTAGTTGTGAGTGGGGAGTGTGTGAGGGTTGGGAGTGTGTGAAGGTGTGGAGTGTGGAGTAGGGAGTTTGTGAAGGTGGGGGTGTGTGTGTGAGTGGGGAGCGTGTGAGGGTGGGGACTGACCAACGAGATCGTGGTGAGGGGCAGTCTGTTCTTTCTCCTGCAACTGTTGTTCCAAACTCTGCTGAGTCTTCTCCAGTTGAATTGACATCTACATGGAGCCACATGTGTACATATATAGGAAGTATATACAATATTATGCAAAACGAAGGAAGGGGGACAGAATGAAGAGGGAGAGAATTTGAACAGAGAGGTAAGAGGAAGGTGAAAGTATAGAAAAAGGAAGTGAGTGAGTAGTTCACCATTTCCTTCTTGCGGAGCTCCTCTCTAAGGAAAGCAGCCTGTGCCGTCTCCTCCTCCTGTATGTATGAATGACGAGAGACAAGAAACCGCTAAACCACCTGCTAGTGCTGTGACATCACTATGCACACACTACTGGACCTACAAAGGCAGCCTTGGCCTCCTCCAGTTCAGCCCTGAGTTGAGTCACTCTGTCTGCCTCCTCCTCTGCCTTCTTTTCCACCTGGTCCACCTTCTTCGTCGTTACCTTCACACACACGAGGAGAAAAGAAAAAACAAGTGAGGTGGACCTCAAACGACGGGTATTTTCACATGAACCGCACGTGGAAATGGTAACCAACAATGCGCACATTGGCATGTTTGCACGATGCACTTACAGATTAAAATATGTACCACAATATTCCGACCACACTATGGTATATATAGTATAATTACCTACAGTAAAATTTGTACTAGTTGACCTGTAGTTTCTTCCTGCCTTCTCCCTCGGTCCTCAACAACTGGATGTGCTCGTTACGCAGCTTGGAATAGACTTCCTTCAGTTTGACAAACCTTTCCTCTGACGCATTTACTCGAGCTGGACACACACACACACACCATCCAAACCAGTGAATGGGGTACTATATACAATGCATGTATGTAAAATGGACTCATTACCTTCTGCAGTAACCGATGCTCCCTTCTGGCAAGATTCAAGGTCCTTCTTCAACAGAACATTCTCCTATACAAACAAAATATAAGCATTTAGGTTGTAGGATTCAGGTTGGCAAGGAGTAGGGAAGCAGGCTGATATAAGTACAACTGTACAGAGCAAAGCAAAGGCAACCTAATCAACTACAGGACAACTTTTTCCTTCAAGGAAAAAAAGAGCTGCCCTGGGTGTCATTCGAACCCTAATCAACTACAGGACAACTTTTTTCTTTGAAGGAAAAAAAGAGCTGCCCTGGGTGTCATTCGAACCCATGACACTCTGCAGTCTAGGCGAGTGCTCTACCAACTGAGCTACCAGGGCAGCTCAGCAGGTAGTAGTAAACTAGGCGTAGTGTTGAAATTTTTTAATGCATACTGAATGTGACATACATTGCACGTCTGCTCTGCAATCTCCTTGTACTCCTGTATCTCGGCCTCCAGGTGCATCTGCCTCTCCCGCAGTCGACCGATCAGCTCCTGGTTGGCCATCTCCTGCTCCTCCAGTTCTCGGAGCCTCTCTTTCAGCTCAACCACCTCTCGCATCAGCTGGTCAATCAGCTGGTCCCTGGGGGTAAGGTGGTGGGGGTAGGACACTGATTTACATAAAATAGGCAACAGGGGACACTTTTGACGAGAAAGATTTAAAGATTTAACGAGTCATCTGTTAAGGTAATATAATTCAAAACACTTGGTACAACTGGCAAGATAAAAAAAAAGTTTCTCAGAAAATATGACAATCTTCTAAGTAAAGTTGACACAAGTTCCTCAATAAAATACTGCAGTAGGTTTTACTATGAGTACTTACACAGTGCTTGACTAACACTGCAATATCTGTGAAACATACACTATACCTGGTGTCTTTTCGTGGGGGTGGAGCAAAGTCAAAACTCTCTGACGTCGGTGAACCAAACGCTGCGTTGAACCTCGCTTCGTCGGTTCGTCTCGGAGGAGGCTGCAAGTAGTGGAGAGAGCAGAGAGGGAAGAAAATAGGAGAGAAGGAAAGAGGAGATGTCAAATGGTGACAGGCGAACAGGAATAGAGAGAGAGAGAGAGAGAGAGCAGCTATATATAGAAGAGAGAACCAGCAAGCAAGAAAAGATAAAGAAATAATTAACACACTTTGCTGGAACTCTCCGAGTCAAGTAAGAGAGAGGGAGAGAGAGAGAGATGGGAGAAAGAAGAGAGGGGATGAAGGTGAGCTCACATCAGGTGAAGGTTCCCTGGCAGTGGATCCCTGCAGTGAGGTGAGGGAAGACTCTTCCTGTTCCGGCATCCTCACCACCTGTCTTGACAGTTGTTGGTCAATTAGCTCCCCAGGTAGTAGGAAACTTGGTGGGTCCTTTGAAGAGTATCATGAAATACGCACATGCAAGTAATGTAGACAACACACTGAGAATTGGGGCGACTCACGGGAGAGAGAGTGGGAATCTTGACCAGTGGCTGGAGATACTTCATCTTACTGGCTTCGAGGAAGTACTTGCGAAGACTGCACATCCAGTAACATTGCACATTCATTTTTTTAGAGATGGAACAAGAGACACATAATTTTGGCGGTTTAGAAGGTTTACACAAGGATTCAAACCCAGCAGCTGCCCGGCATGATAATAATGTGGTACACGCTTGATGGTAATTGATGTGGTCAATTTTAGGCAAATTGATACACGGGAAGTAACTTACGCGTGGTACTGTCTGTTGAAACGTTCTCTGTGACCTGACAACGTATCTGCCGGCAGAGCTGTGTGCGTGTGCGTGTGTGCATGCGTGCGTGTGTGTGAGGAGTAACAGTCAACTCCACAAATACAGCAAATGGTATGTACTGTATATTCATAGTTGTATGGCTGTATTTGAGAGTGTGATGATTACCGGCATGTAGGGCCTTCATGAGCTTGAAGACTAGATCATAGAGAGCTGCAGAGTCCTGGAATGAGCAGGAGGATTGAGTGAGTGTGGAGAGAGAGAGAGAAGCAAGATGATGAGGAAGAAATAGGGAGAAATAAGGAAGAGGGAGGGAGAGAGGGGAGGAGGAAGGGGAAGATAAAAGAAGTGGAAAAGAAGGGAAGACAGATAAAGAGCGAAATAGGAGCAAAAAGAGAGAAAGAGGGAGAGAGAGACCTGGATGGCTGGGATGAGAGGGGCCAGACGACACTGAATCTGTGCGGCTGTCACTCCGCGAGAAGGATCGATGCTGGTAATGACTGCCGCATACAAGTGGAAGAGAGCCGACTGCAAAGTGTCACAACACCTCACACTGCCACTGCGACAACCTTGTAGGTACATATTTATACAGTGGGTAGAGGAAGGTGAGGTTAAGAGTGTGTGTGTGTGTGTGGGAGTGTGGAGAAGTGAAAGATGGCAGGCCATGTTTTTGTACAGCTATATGCATGATGTGGGGTCAGTACTCATATCCAATCCACATAATGAAAGAGAATCAACACTAAGTTTGTATAGTGTGTCTGTGTGAGTGAGAAAAGTGGGGAAGTTCAAGAATAGAGGGTGGAATGGTGCAATACTCTAGAGAGTGGGGGACCATACAGTGACAAAAGAAGAGTAGAGTGGAAGACTGAGAGAGAGAGAGAGAGGGGGGAGCAGGGAGAGCGGGGAGACACACTCACACAATGTCAATGTTGGTCGGAACTTTGAACTCTTTGTCCTCCAAGTTGAGATTTGCAGGAACCTCTGGGTTCTAATGTACATACATACTTTACGTTGGTGAACACACGAGCCCACTATACAGTATGTAGCATCGTACATACATTTCACTCACGTGTGGAAATAATCTCAGTCAAGGGGTAATACAGTGGAACCTACAAACAAGGGACACTGTGGGACCAATGATTTTGTCCCGTGTAGGAAAGGTCAGTCTCCGATCTCGGAGGTCAAATTAAAGTATTGGCATGGGGTTAAAACCAAGTGTCCATGTAGAGAGATCGTCCCTATCTCGGAGGGTCCCTTATCGGAGGTTACACTCAGTATTATACAATTGACAAACATACGTGCAGAGAGAGAGCCACTGTACAGGTCACGCTCACCTTGACGTAGAAGGATATCCGGAGCATGAGGACCTTGATATAGGCAGTGTTCAGTGGCGCAAAACCTGCCACTGCGTGACTCTACAGAGCAAAAAAAACGGTGTTAATTTAACAGGAGAGGAAAAGGTTAGTAGAGCAGCTATTATAAAGGAAAAATGCTCCCACCCTCTTGCCCCAATGAGAACCCCTGTGAAGAATGGTCACTCAGGGAGGGAGGGGGAGAGGGGAAGTATGAGTGAGGAAAAGAAGGTGAGGGGGATGAAGGAGAGAGGAGAGAAGGTGAGTGAGCACGCTCACCCAGTGTTTGCCAACATCTGACAGAAACTTGAGATGCTGAGCAGACTTCTTCACAACCTGCACACCACCACCGACGACAACATTACGACATCACGTCACAGAAAATGTAATTACTAATACTTCACTATGCAGTAGAGTACATACTCCATAAAAACCAGTAACCAGGATGAAATACGTATATTAACCTAGTACATATATATATGTAGTACACTACTTATAGTATCGGGAAAAGGCAATTTTTTGACAAACTGAAGGTTCTCACATCTGGGTAGCCGTCACGGAAAGTTCTGTGGATGACGAAACAGGTTTTCCAGCACACTATGTGTGATCGCAGGACTGGAAATTGACGGGCGACCCTCCAGAAAGACGCGCAGCCTTTCTCTCTCCAGGTAGCAATTAGAGCATCTTGGAGGGAGGGAGAGAGGGGGCGAGGAGGGAGAGAGAGAGGGAGAGAGGGAGAAAGATCGAGTGGGGAAAGAGAGATGCATACAAGAACATTCAATCCACGAGAGATTTGGGAAATCACTTATATACTCTCACAGTCAACTCGTGCAAACATTTCCTTCCAGTCGTATGCACAAACATGGCAACAGATACATACATAATTTATTACACAACCACAACACCGGTGCTTTGCACACCTATTTTTGTAAACAGTAGCCTCAAAAATGCCAGAAACACATTTCTATAATACACTACATACATGACATACAGTCACCTATTTTTGTAAACAGTAGCCTCAAAAATGCCAGAAACACATTTCTATAATACACTACATACGTGACATACAGTACGTGTGTAACAACAACAATACACGCAATAGTTTCGAGGAATCGCAGAGTTATGAGAACACGCCGTGAGCGACACACCCAGGAACAGTTATCAAACAGCTCTACATGCTCTGGGCGTGCGCTCCATGCACCATATATACCTTCCACACTTCTGTCCATAGAATTGTGCCTATGGCTCTCTTGTGTGTATGTATATCTAGTTCTCTCTCACAATTGGTTATGTTCTCAGGGGTTTCAGTGGCCAATCGTGTAGATGTAGCTACTTTTGCTTGCTGCGTTTAAGTGCTCCCGCATGCGTGCAAACATGCAGGTTTGGCATAACACGATCTCACTCTATGGTAGTACTACTGATCATGCACGCACATATGTATTAACTCACTTCGGACGTGTTTCTCTTTGGGAGGTGCCTCGGTACTGCTCAGAGCCTTAGCCAGCGTCTCATGCTATATATGGACAGACAGAGTCAGTTAACAGTTTCACATGTCGACAGACCAAGTAACAGGTGTATACGTACGTCACATCAGGGAATGTTGTACTATAGGCACACTTCATTATTCACAATTCCTCATACAGAGTGTTACATGTATACATATGTAGAGAGCTATATACAAAAATGGTGTTTGCCAAATTCACTGCACACCAGTTTCAGCCATTATTATACATACACAGGTAAGGAACATGGGTGAAAAATTGGGTGGCCTAAACTGCTCGTACTTTTAGTGAGTACATGAGGGGAAGTACAGGCCAACAAACCATCCTGAATACCTTGACTACAGCTGAAGAGTGCAGTGCAATAATCGTCAGGAGTGACTGCGGAAAATAAGGTGGCCTAAACCTTTCGTACTTTTAGCAAGCAAGTGGAGGGAAGGACAGGCCAACAAACCATCCTGAATACCTTGACTACAGCTGAAGAGTGCAGTGCAATAATCCTCAGGAGTGACTGTGGAAAATAAGGTGGCCTAAACTTTTTGTACTTTTAGCAAGCAAGTGGAGGGAATGACAGGCCAACAAACCATTCTGAACACCTTGACTACAGCTGAAGAGTGCAGTGCAATAATCCCCGAATGACTGTGGAAAATCGGGTGACCTCAACTTTTAAAGACATTAAACCTTCTTCCAGGTAAGGGATCTGGTGCATCCTCAGTGTGTGCTGTTTACTCTGAAGGGAAATGGGGCACATTTCCCACTGTATACATAAGGAAAGGGAAGTGCACCCAGTCACACTATGGTGAACCTGTTAACACCAGGAGAATACTCTGAGAATACTCTTCTCACATAAACAGACAAGGAGGTTCCAGAATTACCATGAGTCAGGGCGCTCGCCAAGACTGCAGAGTGTCGCGGCTTTGACCTCGGCGACACATTGCGTCGAACTTGGCATATTGATGGGGTGCACTCGCGCAAGTATTGACCAAAGTTTTTCAAGAAGACAAGGTGCATATCCATTGACGCGTGTTATATGCAATATCCCAGGCATGTAGTAAACAGAAATTAAATCTCGTCTGGGACGACAGCCCCAAGTTAGTCGATCAAGGACAGAACATACGCATAGGTAGAAAAAGGTCACATGAATGAGGTATATAGAGCTCTTTCAGATAGTGCCTCATACTGCCACTCATACTGCCTACCGCTGAGCTACACCTAACAGAAAGTGCAATGCAAGCCTGCTGGTGGCTAGTTCATGATGATTGTGGTTGCCAATAGGAATACAGCTCGACTATTAGACAGCTACACATGCAAGGGACTGTACACTTACATGTGGCTCCATGCAGGTGGATATGTTACATGAATGAATAGCACAGCTACAAAAGGTACACTGACCAGGTCTTTTTCAAACTTTTCCCTGTCGACGATCACTTCGAACCTCTGGGGGCCGAGAATGGACGACATGGCCTTCTCCACGCGGCGCGGGGCTAGTCTCGTTCAAAAGAATCCCTCTCTGTTGTAGCTGGGAGCTTTTTTCCTCGTCTTTCCTCCTCCCAGTTTCCCGGCTTTCTCCTTGCGAAATTACACAGGTCCTATTCCATTCCAGAATCGGAACGAAGCGGGTGACGGGGAAATCCCGTGGGAGTTGCCCTCTTGCGTTTGTGTGTCTTCAGCCAGCACATTGCACTCTCAGCGCAACATCTTTTAACGATTCCACGTACGCCCCACCGAGGAAGTGGTCCACAGAGATAATGGAGGACACCGCGGCCTCCGATCAGGAGAAACAGTGCTCTAACTGGTACGTCAGGCAATAGTACGGCTGTAGCTAGATACTCGTAAGGTGTTCCACCCCCTGTTGTGAGTCGTCTAGCTAGCTCCTCTCATGGGGAAGAGAGACTGGCTTTGAAAGAGGCTGAGAATAAGTACATGTAGCTGTACACACGTCCTGCTTTTGGGAAGGTATGCTCTGCCAGGAGTTGTATCTCCACCCACTTTTCCCTCCCCTTTCCCCCTCTTCTCTGTCACTCTGCCGGCTCCAGCAAGCGGTTCATCTCTGCCAATGCCTTTCTCCTGCACGAGGCCCACTGTCGACGTCACCTCCGACTCTGCGAGGTGTGTCAGGAACCGGTTCCACTCCAGGACATGGAGGAACACCACCGGGAAAACCACGCCCCCCAGTCATGTGACCATTGTGGGGCCACCATGCCTGCCGACAGACTTGAGGAGCACCTGGTGAGAATCGTCTCTCTTCTTCCTTTTCCTTTCTCGCTCTCCCTCCCTCCCTTCTTCCCTGCTTCCACCCCCTCTCTCTCCCTCCTTCCCCATAGACGAAAGGTTGAAGCAAGATAATTATGTATGTAGGGGAACGAGAGTGAACAGATCTTCTCACCTTATACAAAACAGCCGTCCACTCATGTACATATTGTGTACCAGGCTGCATTAGCCGCACTAATAGATTCAAACTCCCTATAATGATGTACACACAGGAGAGCCAGTGCCCAGAGAGGGAAGTCAACTGCAAATATTGCGAGCTGGAAGTCAGGGCTGGGGACTACGACTCGCACATCGAGACCTGCGGCTCGCGGACCGATTTCTGCGACAGATGCAACGTGCGAGTCATGCTCAAAGACATGGAGGAACACAAACTGGCCAAGTGCAGCGACCTCAAGGTCGGCGACGGGTTACACCTGGAGCCCACTCTCGAAAATCTGCCCTCCGCCTACATGGACGGATTCGCCGGGGACGGTTTTTCCGCGGGGGCGTCCTCTCAGGGGGTCCTGATGGGAGATGGAGCCGAGGGGGCATTTGGAGGGATCAGAATTCTCGGGGGGTTCGGCATGGCCCCTCAGCAGTGGAGTAGAGAAGAAAATCTTGAGGTATTATTATCTAAGACATGGCTACATACATAATAGGCACACACACACACACACACACTGTATGCCAGTGCACAGTGTGGTATCAATAATGGTATGTGTGTATGTGTACGTAGTTGACGCTGTCGAGTATTAATTTCGGATTATGTATAATGGTACTGTATCTTTCCAGTTGGACCAGGAGTGGCTGCAGGAGGTGGGCGGAGTGTGCGAGGGAGAGGATCTGGATCGGATGATGGCCCAGGCCATCGCTATGGAGACCAACCAGCAAGCCACTTCCAACGACCACCTCTTTGGCATCGACGACCGTTTCCGTAGAGAAGACCACTATGCCAACGTAGTCAGGGGTGGGTTTATACAGTGCGTCCTCATTGAATTTCACTCAAGAGAGATTCATTCGAGTTTGTATTTTCACAATATTGCACTGGACAGGTGGCAATGGCTCAAGCTTTTCTCTATAGAGTACAGTGTATATATGTAGAATGGAACCGTATATGTCAATAATCAGATCACTCACCTGTGCAAAGATGCTCATGTGTATGTGTATGCTATCACACATGCTATATGCTACAGATATGGAGGACGAGAGGGAAGCTAATGACGAAGAAATGGCGAGAAGATTGCAAAACACGTTTGACCACGAATACAACTTGGAGAGAACTGACGAAAATCTCGCCAGACAACTCAGGAGGGAGGAAGAGACTGTCGGTGTACCCGACTCGCCACCTTTGACCTCCGTTCTTTCCGCCGGGACTAACACTCCAATTAGTGCCCACCACCCCCAGGAACCTCTGACCTCGCATCTCCCGACCGTAGACTACCAGACTTCAATGCAGAGAACGCGGTTTTCGGTTCCAGGAGGGAGGGAGGGAGACAATGACAATAATGACGAGGAGGAATGGAGACGAGAAAGGGAGAGGTTGCGGGAGGAAGAGAGGGAGAAGGAGAGGGAGCAGGAGAGGGAGAAGGAGAGGGAGAAGGAGAGGGAGCAATTGAGAGAGAGATTAAGGGAGGAGGAGAGGGAGGGGGAACAGCTGAAAGAGAGACTGAGGAAGGAGGAGAGGGAAAGGGAGCACCTTTTACGGAGATTGAGGGAGCAAGTGAGGGAGGGGCAGGGTCATAGTGAAGAAAGAAAGCTTCTCACAGGGAGACTTGATATGGAGGAGAGGGGCCGAATGGCATCCAAAGTCGAGAGAGACATGTGGAGAGTCCGGCAGAACGGCGACGAGGCGATGGGTGCAGAATACGACCACGGTGAGGACGCCCCTGAGAAGATTGGCGACGCGGAACTGGCGTACAAACTCCAGAAGAAGGAGATAGAAGATGCGAGGATCGCGGCGATGAAGAAGAATGAAGAGATGCTAGCCGAGATTGAGAGGAAGCAGATGGAGATGAAGAGCACTGAGCTCATCATCCGAATGAGCAAGGAGGACATGGAGTACAACATGAAGAAGCTTGCCGAGCACAAGGCCAAGATTGACAGTCTCACACAACAGATACAAGAACTGTCGGAGAAGAAGGTGAGAGGAAGATACTGGAGTGAAACTGGGGCGACGCCAGGAAAGTGGGACGCAGATTTTTACCCGAGACACGAGTATGACGAGTCTCATTTTGATGAGCCTCCCCCAACTCCTCCCAATTCTCCTCCTGCCAGCCCCTCACCACCGCAGAGCCCCGTACCCACGTCCAGCTCCGCTGCCGATTACGTCAGATTGGAACGGAACGACGACGAGGACGAACCACGTCCCAAACCCATTCCAAAGTCACATCCACAGGACAGGGAGAAGATACCGTGTCAATTCTGCCAAAAGTCGTTCCCACTTGATGTCATCATGAGTCATCAGGTCATGTGACTAAAATTAGTTTTAGCTCCGCATGTACAGCCTGAGCAATGCCTTATGGGGATGAATCTCGTTGGTTCAAAACCACAAGTGCTGCGCTCATGGCAGCCTTTATAAACTCTTGATGCCAGAGAGAGAAGTTGCGGTATGCTCTGCTGATGAGGGCCAACAAGCCCGAAACAGCTGTCCAGAGCTCCCATCTTCTTTCTCTTGGCATCACATGGTATTTTCTACATGTTAGTTACCATTACCGCACTTCACTTGCCTTAGTAGCATGTAGTGGGCCTACTTATGCATTATGCCAGTAGGAGTGTGTATGGAGAAAACTACATTCGTCATACTGCCTCAGTGTAAAGCACTGAATGGCAAATGGTCATATGACAATGCTAGGCTTATTCACAAGATTCGTGTTTTCATTCAACTATATTTATGTACATACGTACTTACAGCACCACTGCAGGGCGGGGTCTGTACATGGGAGGATGAGGGAGGTGGGAAGGGGGAGGGTGGGAGGGGTGGGGAGGGGAGCGGGGAGAGGGAGAGGGAGAGCTGTGAAGCTGAACCTTGAAGAGGTCTTGAGGGAGGAGCAAAGTTACACAAGAGAGAGAACTGCAGGTAAATTACACTCTCAGTATTGCTACTGCACCAGATGGTGGTTCAAAACTCTTTAATCTCTCAGTTGGCGAAGGAAATGCTGTCTGTAAATACTGCAGTGAGGTCTACCCCCAGACCTTCATTGATCCTCACCAGGTCAGTTTACCATGCACACAGTTGCTGACACTTGTAAATTTAACCCCCTACATCTCCCTCTTCCCTTTCTCTTTCTCCGTTCTTTCTCTCCCTCTGGTGCGGCCCTCATTTCTGTCCAGGTACTGTGTGACAAGAACCCTGAGAAGACCCTCAAGAATGCCTACAAGTCCCACGTGACAGCACAGTACAGCAGCAGCAACCTCTCTGCACTCCCTTCGAGCCCCCTCGCTCCCTCTGGTCCCCAGCCTCCACCCCTTCCCTTGGTCTCTTCGCACCCTGAGCCTACTCGGGACACCACGGCTACAGGTACAACATGTGAGCAGTGTGTAGTGCGAAGAGTGACGGGGGAAAATAGGGTGGCCTAAACTTTTCGTACTTTTGCAAGCCTGTGGGGGAAATACAGGCCAGCTGACCACGCTGAGGCAACCAAACAAAACCTGTGTGTGGAGCATTTATACCGTAAACTCTTCTGAGATTTGATCATAGTAATGTCTCTATCACCATCAGTGGAGGAGGGGCTGCCCTGTGAATTCTGCCAGAAGAGCTGCCCACCACACAAGCTTCTCTCCCACGAGGCCGTCTGCCCAAAGAGACCGAGATCTCGACGCAAGGACGGGGCCCGTGTGGGCGGAGCCAACGGACTGGCCCCACCCACAGCTGCTGGTGGTGGTTCAGTGGAAGTTGCTCCGTGTCAGTTTTGTGACCGACCGATACCCCTGGCAACGTTGATTAGACATGAGGTCAGCTGAGGTACTTGTGCCTACAACATGTATACCGAATTGACCCAGTTAAGACAGCTACTATCCGTATATTTTTGAGCAAGCAAAATGTTCATGAGTGTTTGATGAGCGTTTGCAAATCTAGCAAGCTTTCCCTTTTGTCCTAATGCAAACTCTATTTCACTTTCCAAACAGACGCTTTGCCAGTTCCAGAGAGAGCCCTCTTTGCCTCCCCCTGTTTCCCCCTCCGCCGTCCTGTCATCTTCCCAGACTCACCCAACGACTACTGCTACCCCAAACACAACTGCCCATCTTCCCCAAACTCCAGATACTTACCCTTCACCCTCCTCCGGCCAGGGAAACACTGCCGCTGTTTCGTCTGGTCGTACCCCTCCATTTACCGCAGCCACAACCACTTCTCAAGCCTCTGGTCTAACAGACGATGAAAAAGCCATTTTGAGGCACCCTCACAACCCACCCACCTCCTCTTCCCTCTCCTCCTCCTCACGGCCGGCACCCCAGCAGATGACTTCCGGCATACTGCCCACTCCCACGGTCTATTCTAGACCGATCACAGCGAGCCAATTGACAGCTCCGCTCCAAACAGAGTCACAAGTGTCTCCTCCACGCACCCAACCTCCCTGAAATCAACAGGAGACGCACTTAAATCTCACCCCATCTTCTCGAACGACGGTGCGTATTTTGGTGGCGCAACTAGGGCTCAGCTCCCTACCACCCTGCCGCAGATTTTCATGTACAACTCGGCCTCTCAGCCACACAGCATCAGAGCTGGTCGGGCAGCTGGTGGTGGGTTGAGTGAGAGAGAGAGAAAGCCACTTGTCAGTAGAGGAGGTTCTAGGGGACGGTGATGTGAAAGTGACGGAGAATACGTTTGGAGTGGTCGGAAACAGCGTTACACCTCAGCATCGTGATGTAGCTGCCACCACAAGTTTCACTGCCGTACCTACAACTAGTGGCCATTCTGAAGTTCCCACCAGAAGGTTTACTGCAGTATCTACCACTGGTAGTCATACTGCATCAGCTACCAGAAGTAGTCACGCTGCCACCGCTGACAATGGTACTGCAAGAAGCTATCATTCCAGAACGGACCCACAAACGTCTCAGAGCGCCTCTACTGCTACAGCAACCCAGACATCTTCTCCCCGCTCACCTCTTCCACAACAACTGATCCACCAAACATTACGACATCATCTTCAACTTCCAGGGTACCTCCCACAGGTGGTCCAAACTACACCCACTACCAACGCTCTCACGTTCCCCTCCCGTCAACAAGTGAACCGTCACTTTTCATCGGAAATGACTCCACCATCGTCAGGCCTACGCAGTCCGATTTTGCAGCCCTTCGACGCCAGCACCCCGGCCTGGCCCCCACGCCAATCCCCATGACTACCAGCCTCGCGACAAACCCTCTCAAGATTCTGGCCAACGACACGGCAGCCACAGAGATCTCCCTCCTAGGGAACCTCCACGTTATTCCCCCCATCTCCACCGGCCCAGACTCCAAAAAGGACCTGGTGAAACCGTCGGAGAACAAAACGTTTTACAACAACACGCGCAGCAACACTGGCGAGAACACGCAGTTGCTTCTGAACGTCGACAAGGGAGAGGTGAAGACAATGACAGGGTCACTCATCCAGCGACCGATGATCGGATTAGACGTGGAACCGGCCCCGTTTCATCTCCACAATTCTCACGGAGTAGTTCCGTCGACTCGTAACTCGCTCGGCGACACGTACAAGGGCAACCTGGACACGATGTCGGGCAGAAACCAGAAATTGGATCGCACCGGAATGGAGGTCGTCCCGACTTACCCGCAGGACTCGCACAACCTGACCTTCAATGTCCCAACAGACACTGGCAAGAGCCTAGGCACAATGATGCACAGTGGCGGAAACGAGAAACTCGTGTCGATGAGCGGTATTGGTGTGGGGATGGTCTCACAACAGCAGCAGAATCTGAGAAACACGCTACTGGACACGAACAAGCCGGGGCTTGCGATGGAGCCTGGGTTGCTGAGCGAGAAAATGGGTCTCGATTTGAGCTCTGAAATGAGCTTGGTCCCGATGCAAGAGGTGCTGAATTCCCGCAACATTACCGGAGTCAAGGACGCGTCTTCACTCAAGGAGTTGAGCGGACTCAGCAAGAGTCCGCTCAAAGCCAAGACCATCAAGTTAGACAAGCTGTCGAAGGGCAAAGACAAGGGGGCACTGGATTTGATAAAGATTATGGGGGACCCTGTAGTAACAAGCAATATATCGCCGGAGTATGCAGACTCAAAGTCACTTGGAGTAAACCCAGTTGTTGGTGGAAACACAGTTTTTGCTCCATCTCCAGTCAGTAATCCTCCTCTGTTCCCTGTTTCATCCTCCACCGGCAACATTTCCCCATCCTCGAGCCTCAACAGCAACCTGCGTTTCTCCCCCCAAGCCTATGTCCACAGTCCAAATGACACCTCCCCAATGTCAAGTATTGGTAGTAGTGCTGGATATCCCCCTAATCCTCCACCCACTGCAACCGCTACGCCTACATCTCCGGCAAACACTCCACATTTCCCTGCCTCATCGACCGCTACTGCAGACACCACAGCTGGTAGTGAGACTAAGTCAAATCTTTCGACTGGTGTGAGCCACTCTGGAAGAGAAGAAGATGGTGAATCGACGTCGGGGCCCGAGAGCTCTTCGACACTCACCTCTATCGGTGGACCGCTTGTTGAGTACATCGACAGCTTCACGTACGTTGACAATCGACAGCAGACGACGAGTCTGTCCTCTACCAGCGCGTGGGCGAGGGAGAGGAAGAGGGAAGCGAGGATGACGAAGGAGACGATGACGAGATGCCTGAGCTGGAAGAGATGCCCGAGGACGAGGTGGAGTCGCATATCATCAACACGACGGACTCGGATCGCTTGTTCCCAGCTGTGAACCCTACCCATACTACCCCACCTAAACTTCCCCAACAACCCTTCACTAATCCACCATCCCATCAGCCTACTCCACACCAGGTACCTAGAGATGGAGGAGACAGCAAACTGCACCATAGCAAGACAGACGGTGGAAGTGAGGGCACGGCCAGCAGGAGTGGTGGCAGCTGGAGGAAAACCCCGCCCCCTAGCAACTCTAACCACACCCCCAGGTCACCAACAGCAAGAGACATGGTCAAACACTCATCAACCAGCAAGCCACACCAGTTGAAGAGGACTGGAGGTGACAGCACATTGCACAAGAGAGGTCATTCTGCCTCTGGAGGTCAGAATGGCAGGCAGGAACCAACTCTCCACACAGCAACAGCAAGGAGCCCCGCTGCCAGTGGATCTGCTACTAGGCAAACCAGACCACATCAAACTGGTGCCTCATCTCGTGGAAAAGAACAGGGGGCACCTCCCATTAGCAAACACGGTTTCACCAAAGGTGCTCCTCGCACGAAGCCTTCAAGAGCAACCGAGGACCCTCACAGGAAACCAAGCCCAGGCCCCCCAGTCTGCAAAGGTCCAGAGAAAGTAACTTTTCTCTCTCTTCACTCTCTCTGTGTGTAGGTGCGTACACTTGACTTTTATTATCACTCTATTGTTATGTAACATTTTTGTTGGAGTTGTGTTAACAGACGTGTGGATGTATTTATTATACGTCATGGTAAAATACAAAAACCTAGGTCAAGTCGTGTGGCGAGTAACCGATTGATGATGCCATTATTATTTATTGCTGGTTGTCATTGGCTGGGGGGCCGTCCCTGCCGCCAGGGGCTACCCCCTCACCCCAGTCGTAACCTCCTGGTCTATCCTCTGGCTCTAGAGGCTCACCGTGGTCGGCCTGCGTACCGTCAAATATCCATTTCCTGCGAGGGAAATCCGAGAACAAACGCATTAGTGAGTGAACCACAACATAACTTGTACACTGTGTTCCAGGTAGAAATATTGGGGCTTTCTCTTATACTTTCTTGTAGGGCCGTAATTAACGCTGCTTACATGAAGGCAGGTGTTCTGATGATCTTAAATCCACCAGGTTTGTTGGGGAACACGTCTTCAAGGAAGTAGTACATGTGACCTATTGCTATACCTACAGTTGAAGAAAGAGAGAGAGAGAGAGATGGCAACTCTCGAGAGGCAAGAGTTGAGTTGACTCTTGCAATTGAGACCTGAATTGACGTCAATCAAGAGTGGATGATAGAACGCCGAAGAGTAAGAGCGCATAACTCTAACAGACACCCACAGAACGGACAGACCAATACTTATTTCCGGTTGTGCACAGATAGTACAAATCTAGTTGTTTCGCACGCTTTCTCGTGTGTATTATAATAAAACAGTACTGGCAGGTTCCGCCCTACCCTTCCACGAGTTACACGGTTACTCTTTCTCCTCCGCATTCTATCACGTGTTATTGATGCTCAATAGGTGTTCAATAACCACATCAACACACACACACAACACACACACACAGAGAGAGAGAGAGAGAGGAGAGAGAGACTCACCAACTAAATCGACAGCTACCGAGCCTCCAAACAGCACGGAGAAGAGGACGAGTATCCAGGGCAGGTAGGGTGCCTGGAATCGAAAGAGACCAAAGAAGTTGTACACGACAAACGGATTCCTCCTGCAGCCAATGTAGACTATCATCGTAGTGAGGGCTTCTCCGAGGAAGAGCATACGGAAGTAGTTAGTGGATGCAACGAGCTGGTGTATTTTGAAGCACCAGTTAAGGTAGACCGATCAATAGCTGAAAAAACTTTATGTTTATGTATTGGACCGAAAGCAAAATGTTCTGAAAAGGTCTGCACACACAGCACCATAGAGCAAAGGTCTTCTCCGTGAGAAGTCTCATAAGGGGAAGGGTAAATGGGGCACGAGATAGGATAGTAGGGGATTACGTAGGTGTAAGGAGGACTGCAGAAGAAGGATACGAGTGTTAGAGTTGATCCAAACAGGAAGAGAACGACAAAGTCTGCCGTTCTTCCCGAGAACGACGTCTCCTCCAACTTGCGGCAGAATCTATAGCTGTTGATGGTAGCAGCAGTATAATAGCAGCTGAGGAAACTATCAGTAAACTATCAGTAAACTATGACAGTAATGGAAAAGGGGGCATTTAATGGGTATACTCACCAAGTCTGACAGAGATATATTTAAAAAATTGTCGTAATACAAAATATATACATAGCAGACGAAACGAAGTTTCCCAAATCACTTCTAGTTTAGGTGGTAATGGATATCTCAATGGATACAGGAAGATCATGTTGAAGAGGAATCCAAACCCCAGATAGCCGTAGAACAGGAAACACGTCAGCAGTCGCCACACCTGAACACGAGTGAGAAAGCATTATTACCCACACCACTATGGGTCTAGAGACTCCCCCAATCATCTTGTGAATATCAGGTGCAGATGAATTTCAATTCGAGTCCGATGAATATACTTGAAGTATGCGAACACTCCCTTCCTCCCCCTTGCGTCTTGCGCATGCCCACACAAGAGGGCGGAAGTGACATGGTACACCATAGCTACTCGCGGCAGGCTATGAAATTCTGATATCAGACCCACAGGCTCTCAAGTAACCTTGTGATGTTGTATCTTGTGGTGGACCTTTCCTGGTATGCCAGCTATCAAATGTATGCAGCATAGTGTGTGTAGGACTACACTTCTACTCATGTGTACTATATACAGCAAGTGGACTTGCCTCTCCATGCAGCACTAGATCAGGGTGGTAGAGCAGCTGGATTGGAGTCACCACCTGCAGTTGCTAGAAAACGCAGAGAGACAGACGAAATGGGACTAGTGACGAGTGCGTATGTATATTGCGTTAGGACGTAGCTAGCTGGAGAAAAGAGAGCGGCGGTGCTACGACGAGTTCTAAATAGAGCCCACCCAACGATACACGACTAGCGGACGGGATCCGGGCTCACCACTGCTAGCGTGGTGAGGACGCAGGTGGTGCAGTAGACCCGTGTGACGACGGGCGTCTGCATGAACTCTGTCCTAACGTGTTGAACCATCCCCAACCGTCCCTCATCACACTATACAAACCAGCCGGCGAGGAGCACAATTGTTTTTCGGCGAGGGGGTGGTCCCGCCTATAAAAGATGCTCTGAAAAATGTCCGCTGGTGCGTCCTCTACTTTACTCATCGCGAGCGTTCCTGAGAGACCACTCTCAGGACGAAGGTCACGCGAGTTTGCATACGTGAGACTAGAAAGGCTTCATTCTAATGTGCTCCAGCGACGAAGCACGGTCCCTCAGTTTTCAGACGCGTTCCTAGAAAAACCGCAGACCCTCCGCCGACGTTCCACTCTGCGTCCCTCACGATCCTCTCCTCTCTCTCCCTCTTCTGTAGACACAGAAGACGCCAGCGAGCCGGAGACATGAGATGGAAGAGATGAGCCAAGAGCATGTCAGCACGCGCCAACTCCAATGAAAGCGCACCATGTGTGTTCCCTCGACCTGCAGTTCTTTTGAAGAGAAGCTGGCTGCCTCCTACACTACCACACTACTACACACCACGCGCAACTAAAACAAGTAGAGGATGGTAAGACCCCACACACTAATATCACAACAGCATGACATCTGTAGCTACAATATTTGTAGGTACTGACCTTGATTTCCTGCAAGAAGTTGCCCGGATAAAGGAAGAGAGGGACAAGAGGCTGTTTGTGGCCGAGTCATTTCGAGTGGTACGAGACTCAGTGTGTGAAGGAAGAGTTTGAGAGGGAGAAAACCCAAGCTGAAACAGAGTTGAGGTATACATATACGTCAAATATTCACTGTGGTTTTGGTGAGTTATAAAGTGGCTTGATTACTGTCATCAGGTAAAGAAAGTGGAGCTGAAGGAGTGTCTGATGCACGACCAACAGGACAAGAAGAGAGCGTACGAAAACTATCGGCATACTGCAGAGCTGAGCACGGGAGGCGGATGTGAGTTTAGCAAAGGGGGTGGGGGTAGAAAGGATAGTGTGAGATGAGTAAATGAAGAACTTAGCTGATTGCACATGGTACAGTTCATTAGGTGTGATCCTTAAGACTATCCCTATCATAGCCCCATACATCTATGATGCTAGGTACCATGCCAATCCCTATATACTAAGTACTACCGTGATATTGTATTATGGGTATGGTATATACATATTATGTTTTGTGCTCATAAATGGGTTAGGGATGAGAGGGAGAAGAGGAAAAATATGTGATGAGACTTTTTATTGATTTGATTCTGTCCATGTCAGTGGATTCTTTTGAGCCGAAGACGATGGTGACCCGCAAGCTGCGGCGGCGGCACTACGAGCCTCTCCCCATGCCGGAGAAGAGACGGAAACTGGCTCCCCTGTCCTCCCTGGTCTACGTCCTCGATGAGCACGAGGTCGATGACGACCTCAAGGTCATCTTCAAGGTAAAAAAATCATCACCACGGTTACCGGATGTAATTCGAAATGGCGTGTACAACTGTAATTAGAAGATTTGAGTATATATGTATCAGAAGCAGCAGAATGTGCACCTTCAAAAGGTGTTCCAAGATAGTTTTGATGTACTCTGTGGCTTCCTTCTTTTTACTAGTCACTTTTGTAATACCCTCAGGGGAAAATCACAGCAAATCCAAAGTTGCTAACTTCTCCAGGTATATATACTGTAGTAGTAGTAATAGCTCCATCTGCTATATTCAAGTTGTATCCTGTTTTTCACAGTGCCCGTGGCAAAGAATGACGGTGGCGCAGTGTACGAGGCCAGGATAGAGGACGGGAAACTGTACTACGAGAACAGAGCGTGAGTGGAAAAAAAAACAGTCATCGGATCGAGAGACTTTTTTGTTGATGCTGTTTCGTTTTCTACAGGTTTCATAAGGGGCAGCACATTTTCATTGACTCTAAAGAGCATGGACAAGAAAGGTATGTACAAGATGAACCCATTCGTGATGTATAATTTCTCTAACCATCGTCCGTCCACTCCACAGTGGTATCATTTCATCCGTGGGCCAGAGCGAGGTATGTTTCCAGAACCCTTGTTGTGTCTACAGGTACTGTATGAGTCCCTATTCTTACAGCCGTACAGAATATTTCTCCCGATCACACGTTTTCTCTTCCCCTCTAGATATGGGTAAAGAGGTTGCCCGACAACTCGAAGCTGAGGATCTACGTGACTCAGTTAGTCAGAGGAAAATACGTCCTCAAGCGAAGGAGTGCTTGACTTTTTGTTCATTTATGTTCTGTGTTCTGTGTGTAAACTCATCTGTTTATTCTCTTCCTTCATCTATCACTAAGTATGGTATCTAGTATGAATTACATTCTGGTGGTCTAGTGGTGCTGCAGTATTATGCCCGTGCGCGCGGCGGCCCGGCCCGGCGTGTTGGGCGGTTTGTATTGCGCATGCGCAATAGTGAGGTCAAAAGTTCACAGCTACGCATGGAGACTTGTGTTGAGGAAAAGCGTGTTGGTTTCGAGGTCTCCAAAGGCCTCATTATCCGAGAGAGGGACCTGAGGGACTGTATTGGTAGATTGAAACATTCTGGGTCCGATGAATCCGCGCTGGTCGTGACGGAGAGGGAACACGGAGAGTGTACGAACAACGTCCCATGCACAACCGTTTGTGTGGACGGACCACGTGATGCGAGGCTCGTAATAAGTCTCTCCTGGGAGGCAGACAGTGCTTGGTAAGCATTATAGGCACGAACACTCGGGCAGGACTATGTAAAGTTTAGGTGGGTGTGGCTCTTGTTTTACGTAGTGACGTCATTATGACGTTTGCTCCGCTGACTCACTTGTGGTTGTGTATGTACAGGACACTTCGTATGTTGACGGTGCTGTCGAGGTGTGCACGGCTGCGGATGTTGATGGCGTGGTGCTCCACATTGGGAGGAGCTCATTCTCAGCTGGGGGACACACTCCCTGATCATGTGAGTGGGAGGGAGGTTGCATGAGGAACCAAGGGGACGAACAGATGGGTGTAAGGGAGGGAGGGTGGGATGAATGGTGGAGGGGAAGAGGAGAGGTAAGGTAAAGGTTTATTGAACATTCATTCGGCACCTGGGACTGAATAGCAGGAAAATGTAGGCAATAAATTTAGTTGAAAATTCGATTAGTAATTTGGCAGTTTAGCATCACAATACACGCGCAGGGGTTTGGCACAAGCTTTTAATTTGGCCGTTGCTTCAATGGTTTTTCTACTGTCAGTGGAAAAGTTCTCAGCAAAATGTATGTTTTTGTGTGTGAAATTCACGTCTTTTCAGCCCCAATCATGAAAAATGCCCTACACTATTGCATTTTCTCTTTCTCCCTTATATTTTCCCACCTCATATCTTCCACGTGTTCTGCAGGCAGTTCTAGCTGGTGAGCTCTCACTGAAGCAGCTGGCTCTAGCTACGGACATGGACGATCCCTTACTTGCCTCCAAGTGCAAGATTTTCACTGCGTACAGTCTGCTGCAGAGGGGAAAGCTAAAACCGGCCTCCATAATCATCAAGTAAAGCATGTGCATTAACTGTAATATTATGTGTGATGCATCATAATGGGTAACCTAGAGGTGTACAGACTCAATGATGTCATCATTACATCATGTTACTATATATACTTTTTTAGAATGACCTCCCTTAGTTGACATTTGAGTGTAGTTATGGAGTGGTGAGTAATCCTGAGCTGGTTATCCTCCCATGTTGTATGTAGCTAGAGAGGCAAGGGGATACTCCTAGGGACCACCCCATGATGCAACAGACATGTGACTACAGAACCTGCTGATACTTGTCAACTTTGTGGCTAAATAAACAGAAGACATTTGGCCGATCATAATATACTTTCCCATCTTCGTAGCATTATAGGTGAACCCACGGCAAAAGTGTACAAGGAATAGGTGTTCCTATAGCGATGGTACCTAAAGTTGCTTTGTGAACTGCGTAAAAAGCAGTTTCTCCTGCTATTATAGCCCATCAGTTTTGTTTTCCATACGTAACTTCCTCCGAGCCACTGTGTGCCATTTTCTAAGAGTGCATCAATTACCAGTCGGTGCAGTGGGTGGTTTGTTTTGCAGTGTGTCCTGCTTGTGTCGCGACATGTTTACCGTGTCTATTTTCATAACTGAGGCCGTCAGCCACAATGGCGTGTGCACACCTGTGCACTCATCAGTTTTTCTTTTCTGAAAAGAAGTTATCTCAGCTACAAAGCCGCTTCAAAGCCCCGTCGGTCCTTTCAGTTGTGAACTTTCACTCCCGCATTTTGTAAGCTTTGCTCTCTGCCCCTCCATTATGCTGCAGTTGACAGTTTGGGGGTGTTTCCTATGAGAATAAACTTAATTACGAGACCGTATATAGTATGGTGTGGTCACTCTGTCCTCTTTTTCCCAGCAAGGCAACAGGTGTAGCTTGTCTCCCAGTTGTAGCTCCTTCGTGTTAACCCCTTACATTTACAGGTGAAAAGTTACAGTAAGTATATACATACAATGGAACTTTTTCTCTAGGCACAACCACATAGTCAGTATCACTAAGTACGGTAGTACTTAGTATATAGGGATGGGCATGGTACCTAGCATCATAGATGTGTGGGGCTATGATAGGGAGTTTTGTTCATCTTCTTCTATATGTACCTTTACTCTCACCAAAAGCATTCTTCTTGTACGCAATTTAACCCTTGAAATAGGACACCTCACTAGTGATGCTGCCACTGTATCCTGTCACAATAGTGTCCAGATTAGAGAGGTTCCACTGCTGCTGTATGTATCAGTGAGAGTGTCGAAATACACACCTTAGGCTTTGTAACAGGTCTTTGCAATAGCACGGGAAATTCTATTTTAGCCCGTGTGTGTGTGTGTGCATGTACGTACGTGTCTGACTGCATTGTGCATCGGTTAGTCTGTGGTGAACGTGTGAGTCACCGCCGCAAGTTGACACGCAACCTCTGTTTTGACCTGCAGTGAATGGCGCCTCTTAACCGCTCCTTCGAACGCTGAATGATGGGCTCCTTTCGAACTGAATAACTAGAGAACGCGGGCGACTTGCGTGTGTCTTTTCACTGAATGTTCGGTGCTATATCGCAGTATTAAGGAATGGTTCTGTGGCTGTATATACCGATGTCCCTATGGCTGCCATATATACCCATGCGAAAGCTCTCATTGTGTCTGCCCCAGTGTGCGTGTACTGCTGCATACACTCAGACGTGAGAGGTCGTGATCCACAACGTAAGGTGTCTGCCAGTCTGCAGGACTCTCTAAGGTCCCGAGTAATCTAATTAGCTGGGCTCGTTTTGGAGGTGTGGTCTCGGACACAGCTGCCGGTTGCCTGGCCAGGTAGGTGGTGTTGCTGGGGAGGGTCTGGAATGGTAGTGCCCGTTGCCTTCTCACCTTCCCACCCGCCATCAATCACTGCCTTCTATATACATAGATCTCTGACTCACCTGCAGCTTTGCTCATGTCAGCGTCTGGTGAGCGTAAGTGGAGAGTGCAATGCATTTGGTGAGCGAACTAAAGCATGATAGAGTAGGGCCTTTTAAAAAACTGTACGTGATGTTTGTGCATGTGCATTGAGACGTAGAAATCGCACGACTCACATAACTAGGTAGACTCACTTTCCCTATAATTATAATATACCTGACTGCAGAGGTTCGTGCAGCATTTAGGCTCTGGCAAGCTACCTGACATAAAATTGTTGGTGTGAAGCTAGTATGTAGCGAGCCACTTGAAACTGGTTGTTGTGCTAAGGTGCTGCAGTCTGGGTTCTCTGTCCCTCTGTATGGGTTTATGCAGGACAAGTGTAAAGCAATGGTTTAAGATATATGTTGCAGTGCCCAGACAGGACAGCATGAGCCCTGTAAGGTTGCCTAGGGACAATTATGCATACACTTTTGCATGCATGTAGAGATAACCAGGCTCTCTTGGAGTTTGTCCTAATAAGTCAATACCTTGGACTCCAATCTGGAAATGTCACTTTTAGTGGGACAATGATGTACTACCAGTTCCTGGCCACTATCAAGTTAGTGGGTAGGCATTAGTGGGCTGCACTTTATTGGACCTGGGAGGTTGTGGGGAGGTAATTGCCATTGTGAGAAATGCTGATATTTTCATCTCCTTTCTCTCTCTCTGTTTATTCCTCTTTCTCCTCCTTCCCCCTCTTCTCCTCCTCCTCCTCCTCCTCCTTCTCCCCTTTTCCTACTCTGCAGACAACAGTATCATTATGCCACAGAAGAAGCTGTCACTCAAGATGAAAAGGTCAGAACTATAACGTAGTAATGATGAGTGCTCTACTATATTATTATTATTTAGCCACCTCTTGCAAGACAAACTTGCAGTCGTGTATGTTGCACAAGTGTCTGTGGTGTTTGCATTTCCCCCCACGTTTTTGGCGGGGGAAGGTCTGCTCTCAATATGAAGTGAGCAGCTGTCACACAGTATTACGTACACACACAGGCAAATCTCCGTCGTGTTTGTCCTAAATGTTAGTATGACTGTGATCGACATGTGTACACACACCTCTGCATTCGTCAGCCACCGTGTAAAGATGATGGCAGGTTTTGTATTTACGTTTCAGAATTTTCCCGTCGGAAACGCTGAAGGCTAATATTGTGGTCAAGTTATGCAACAAAAACCGGTCACGTGTACATTTTTACATGGACAGTCTGTAGAGGCTGAGCAATAACAAAATATCGCGGTTGAATTGATGCAATTAAATCTGAGACAAAATAGTATACACTGTGGGTGGATTGATCAACAATGTATAGTAAACTTATTATTTGCCGTGAAATGATTCAGTAATGGTAGGGATCTTTGGCAATCGGTGGGCAGATTGTAGTACACAGAGGCCAGGTTTTGTACGTACTCACTGGGCTTAAAAGGCTGCATTAAACCCACGCCATAATAGTTTAGGGCCCACCATCACCATAATATGGACTGTTTTCCATTGATAAAACCATAAGCTCACCAATCTGGGGGCCGTGTAGTAACCAGCATATTGTGCGTATACTTCACCGAATCGTTTTGTATCTACATAATTATTGTTGGCTTAATACTGAACTCTATGCAGTGTAATATGTACATGATTCAGACCTCCAACTCAACTAAATTAGAAGCTGAGAGGGGATTCCAATTGTGTTAATTAGCATAAGATAGGAACATGTGCAGCGATATGGATGATGTTACCATTCCATACTCCAACTGTAGTCAAAGTATAAGATAGTTTGTGTCTCTGTCTCTCTTCCACTCATGTGCCTACAAAAAATGCGAAATCGTTCACACCCTTATTTAGGGGGGACAGTGAAATTTGGGCGAGATAGGAACATGTGCAGCGAGATGGAAGACGTTACCATTACAATCTTAAATGCTCTATGAGTGAATTAGGCGTAATTAACACTACGGTAGTATATACAGAAGACACATATTCCACTCCTTTGTTAATTCGAAGAATTTATTTGTACCAAACTCTCTGTTGATGTCACTTGTAGTTCAGTCTCTGAAAATAGATTGTACTCCCAGAAGTCTTGTCATTTCATTGGTCAATTTTGTCGTGTGAAAGTCACCTGATAAGGTAAAGAATGCAGGGAGGTGTAGAGGGAGTGGTGATCTTGGTAAGTAGGTGAAGTGTTACATTGTTGACTCTTCATTGATAAACCTGACACTAGGCAGAGAGATATAGTGGTTCAGATTGTGATCATTTTGAGAGGATTTTGAGAACTATTGTGCTGGTGCTACTTGATCTGCACATGTCTTTTCTTATCAAAGTTTGAATGTTTTCCTTTGTCTGTGTTTCTGTTAATGTACACATTCTAGTGGCCTGTTGGAATGAAGCGCGGAGCAGGTAGAGGAAAGGGTGAGTGATAGGGATGGAGGTGTGGTGAGGGGGTGCTATATAGCTGAGCCACTGACTCTGCCAGCTTAGGAGAGTCCAGAATGCTATGCCGTTATCCGGTAACCCAGCGTGAGATATCCAGCAGATGACCTGGTTGGCAGCCGATGTTCAAGACGACAGCCGCAGCTGCACGTTCCGACACACGCGCTCGCTACCCTCTAAAAAACATTTCTATACCGGTAACCCACCCTGCCATTACAAAAACACACCAATTTGTTTTGCATTAGGCGATGCAGCAATTGTACCAAAACAGAATTTCATCAAGACCGTACAAACACACCAGTCCCATAGTGTCGTAGGGCAATAAGCATAAGTAATTACGTAGTCACAGAGCTCTGCATCTTTTTCTCCGTCTCTGGCATCACATGTCTAATACTTCATGTCCAGAGCATCTTTTTTCTCTTGGCATCACATGTCTATCGTCATGTCCAGAGCATCTTTTCTCTCTTGGCATCACATGGTCTAATACCTTCATGTCCAGAGCATCTTTTTTCTCTTGGCATCACATGGTCTAATACCTTCATGTCCAGAGCATCTTTTTTCTCTTGGCATCACATGGTCTAATACCTTCATGTCCAGAGCATCTTTTTTCTCTTGGCATCACATGGTCTAATACCTTTATGTGCACTTCCTTTCTGATACACACCAGCTGTGCCTTTATCCTCCCACCACATGCGCATGGACACGCCCAGCAATCACACACACATACACATACACACACACACATACTACAGTGTGTACACTGACTCTATGTAGTCTATGTATCACACAGGTGTTCATGTTGGAGCTTATTTTGTTACCCTGACCAGCCCAGGTGGCCCTCGAGGTCCCTACTTACCAGCAGTCAGAATTAATTCAGGGGTTGCCTTTTAATCTACGCTCACAAACATTCGTCAAATTACCTACCACCCCATACTTGTTATTACATCATGCGTCCCTACCTTTAACCATTCTTTTACATAACGTTACGTTGAATGTTGTTTGCGTCCACACTCTGTAGTGTATATACCTTTTCAATGAGTTTTTTTACGCACACAGATGGCATGCATCACATGCATGCGTATGGTTGCAATATGAGTACGTGTATAAACCCTTCCACGCTTTTCGTATGCCGCTTGAGGTGGGAGAGGGGGGAAATCCTAGTATTCGGTAGTTACGCAAACCCCGCGAGCAAACGAACTCAAGATGAGGGAAAACCCCGCTCGGCCAAGTGTTTTGTGTCTTTACGTACGACCGCAAAGAAACCACATCCTGTGTCGGATTACGTTCCCCCCCTGCTGAGCTGTGCGACTAGAACAGGTCGATGCTGAAATATTTCGCTCCCTTTTTCGTGGTCTGTCCACTTAATCGCAGGCATATGGCAAGGGCCTGTAGGCTTAATTGGAGTGGCTTGGCACGATCGTGAGCCGGTCACCACAATCAAAATTGCAGCTGGTTTTCAAACACACAATGTCCTCCCCCCTCCCCTGTCTTCCCTCCCAGTCTTTCTCCACTGCTTGTGTAAACCGGTGTGACCAATATCCGTTATTCCTCCATATCCACAGGCATAGCTTAGTCTACGTAGTTTGTACTCACATGGTAGTTTAATGAGGTGGTTGAATATACCAACCCCGCGCGCTATGACCGATGCATACGTAGGTGACGCCTAGTGACGTGTAGATGTGTCTGTCTGTAGTTTTACGGTTGCCCTGAGGTCCCAGCCACAAAGTTTTCCGCGGCAAAGTCAATGTGTTGTTGTTGTTGTGCATACAGTGCGGTGCCTTTGAAGTACATTGTGGGCCGTTATGCAAAGCAACCATATAAACAGTGTGTAGAATCGCTGTACACTTATAATAGTCCTGTAGTAGGTATGTTACATATGCAGTCTAGCATACAGTGACGTAAGTACACGTACTGTATGTAGTCAAGCCTTTACAGCAACGCTGTATGCATGTGGTCCTCTCTCTGTTTACATAAGAGCCTTTCAAGTCGCCGATGGTCCGCAACTGAAACTCCGTGGCGGCTGCTAATGGAAATCTGGCGTGCATTCCTCGCGGCTTTCTTCATGTTGTCGTTTGGAAAGAAATGCTCGTGTTGTATCAATAGAATATTTTTCCCAGTGAAACGGATGTGTGGGGACCCCACTGGATTTCAAAGGGCTATGCATCTTACAGGAGAGGGACGCAGTTAGTGAGGGGCAGAACATTACCCCTTGTAACCGTTTCTCCTCCTAGAGAGCACTATTTTCCCCATGTGTGTGCAGCAGCCTCAAGAACATGGGTGAGAAAGAATGTTGAAAACCTATTACTTCTACTACACAGACATGTAGGGGTTCAATGCACCACTTGTAAAGGGGCCACGTCTGCACTGAATCACCACCGCTCGTGCCTCTCTCTTCACTATCCAGCCACAGTGTCCCTCTCTCTCCCCTTCTCTCTTTCACTGCTTCAGCCACTGACATCCTCTGGCTTTTGCTGCTCTCTTTTGTATTCACCATCTGAGCAGCTTCACTCAATGAGTCCTTCCTTCTTCCTTCCTTTCTGAGCAATCTGTCATTGTTTATGCTCCTTTTGGTCTGTTTGTTCTTCACACAGCTGTGTGATGTCATTTAACCTGCTACTTTTCACTCTTTGTGAAGTTATTTGTATCTTGCTCTGAGCAATCCTTTGTCACAGCTGTGGGGATAAACCAACTGCCACCATTTTGAAGAGAGAGGGAAGGAGTGCTTCTTCTTGATCTCATGTGAAAGGGTTTAGCTCTAAGCAGTGTAGGGCAAACAGGGACACGTGTATTTGTCGACCCACCTCCTCACAAGGAAGAGTGACGAGGGATCAAGGGGGATGACACTGGTCTGGATTAGTGTGAACTGTAATCCCCGCCAATGTGGCATACGCTGCATATCTCCTTTTATGCATGCATATCCTCTCAATATGGATACATGGCCTTGATCTCTCTCTCTGGAGTGTGTGTTATCATGCTCTATAGGGAATTGGTACTGCAGAAAGTCCAAATAAAGGACCAACCTTGACTGCGAAACTGCTCCTCTACACTGTGGCCTGCCCTTTACAACACTGTGGCGTCTTATGTCGAGGTTTAATTGTATATTTAGCACTGGATCCAAACCAATGGAAAGTTTAATTCGGGGCTGTGTGTCTTGGTGTAGGCAGGCCCTCCATTAATTTTCACCTCTATTATCTTGTTTCTTCTAGCTCCACCAGTGGTCTGTGTGGTCGTTGGCCCTAGTGCTATGGCTGCTATTACATTACCTAATGCATTCTCCTCCTGATGGTGATTGAACGTGAACAGTCGGCATGTCGTGTATTTCCAATGCAATGCAAGAGCATTAATCTCACTCTCACTATATACTACTGTAGCTGATCAAGATG